TTGCTGCCGCTGCTGCTGCCGCTGCAGTTGTTTCCTATTAACGATAAAAATCACATGACACGAACTGGTTGCCGATCTGGCTACGGTTTTATACGAGTATAGTAGAGTCTTGGTTTTTGTGTCTGTTTTTGGGTTTCTGGGATTTGGCTCTGGGTCTGGCGCCGGCGCCACTAACCCAGTTTATGCCACTCCACCTCCACCTCCACTCTACTCCACTCCACTCAGGGATTTGCGCTGGGCTGGCCAATTATGCCACATTATGCCACGGCAAGTTGATTGCCGCTGTTATCGCCCAGGCCGGCATTGGGATGGGATGACAGGATGTGCGGCTGAGCCAGGGCCAGGGCCAATGCTGCATATTACGCAACGTCAACGTCAATTAAATCAGTTTTACTCCAAATATTTTAAGCCAATGTCAACAACGAGTCCCATCCTCATCCCCATTCCCATCTGAAACTGTAGCTGTTCCGGCCACTGGCACTGACTGTGAGATATATTGACTGCGTCTGCCCATCGCTCGTACACCTCTCTCGCTCTCAATGGCCACGCCTGATTGAATTTATGGCCGCGCACATCCAATGGGGCCCTCGAGGGCCAGCAGCCTCGTAGCCAATTGTTTACACAAAACTTTCACAAATTAACCCAACCTGTGAACTGAAAAAACTCAAAACTTAAGACTCCAAAACGCATCGACTCGATTAAAATGCTGCAAACTTAATTGGTGGGGGCCACCGGTTTGTCGCACATTCTGGGTGGCCAAACCAAACCACAGTGGTGAGCTTGCACATGATCTGGTAGATATTGTAAGAGGAGAAATTGTCATTGAAGGTGTTCTGTTCTGAAATGCTCTCATAGATATTAGATTAAAAAATCATGTCATAAGAAATGTTTTCTTTTATCATTTGTAATGGGTAACATCACAAAGGGTAGAGTGTGTAGTTCGAAAGCCCCCCGATATACCTATACTTGATATTAAGGTTTCGAATTAGTTTTTTATTTTATTTATTTTATTATTATTATTTTATTATTTTATTTTCCAATCATTTTTCCCTACTCTTCATGCCACGGTGCATGGCTCATCCTCCTGGTGCATTTCTCCTGCTGCTTCTTGGTCCTACTGCTTCTCGAAACTACTCCTGCTGCTCCTTCTACTTCCCCTGCTGCTGCTGCTCGGTCAAGTGCAAGTGGCAATTTAAAGAATCGGGTGAGGTAAATGTCGAATCGAGTGTCCCAATGTTGGCGCCCCCATATGCGCATAATAATTTCGATCGAGTGCCGAAGAAAGTTGTGTGGTGCAGGGTCCGGCTCCTCGGCATCGTTTCATGTGCGGCTGCTTCTTGCTGCTGCTGCTGCTGCTGCCGCTGTTGCCGATGTTGCAGTGGCAGCAATTGCGGCTGCTGTTGTTGTTAAGTGAAATGAAAAGTGCATAAATCTGGTGAGCAGCTCCCAACCACACGAAGCGAGGCAGCGGCAGCAAGAGGTGGCAACCGGACCGGACAACGATAAGAATCGAAGCTGCGTTTTGGGGCAAAACGAACCAGAGACAAAAGAACTTTCGCTTTCGTTTCGGTTGAGTTTTCGGATACGGTCTGATCTGTCTTGGCCTGCTGCCCAGGTAAAAGTGGCCCGTTGCATTATTTAACCAAATTTGGCTATTGAAATGCAACCGGTACGCGTACGAATGGATGCGGTACGATGTACGTACTCGTCGTACATGCCTTTGATATAACAATTATGTGCGTTTAATGAGCAGCAACAAGCTGACAATCATGCCGCTGACGGATGAGATTGATTGCATAAGGTACAGCAGCATGCAGCAGGCAGCAGCAGCAGGCAGCAGCAACATTGTCACAGTCACTCCCCAGGGGAGGGTCACTGGGGGTGCCGCCAGACACGGACACCACATCCACAGCCACATCGTTTACATCGTTTACTTTCACTGGCGATACCAGAACCGCTTAGAAGCAGCGCGCTGCAGTGATTGCAGCAGCCGCATCCATCCGCGGGCGAGTGATAGTAAAAGTGATAGTCGTTTTCAATTGGAGATTATTATGGCTTAAATATTTTACGACTTATATAACCACACACACACACACACTCATGCAGTCAGTGACAGAGTGAGAGAGACAGAGAGAGAGGGAGAGAGACGTCAAAGCAATTAAGCCACGCTACCAAAATGCAGCTACAAATGCAGGCACTTTTCTAATTAATTTCAAAATGAAGTGAAAAAAATCTCAATAAAATTTCATTTTCATTGACAGCCGCTTTTCAACTGCATCGTTGCTGCTGCTGCTGCTGCTGCTGCTGCTGCTGCTGCTGCTGCTGCTGCTGCTGCATGATGTAGTGTGTGGATGCAACAAAAACAACCTGGTGGTGTTGCTGCTGGTACACTTAATTGACAAGTGTGAAACTTTCGATTTCTGTACACCCATTGACATACAAAACGAGAGCCAGAGATTGGGGGCCGCAGAGCCGCAGAGCCGCAAAGCCAGGCCTAATGATGCCGCCTGCTGCTATGATTTGTTGTGTTTAAATGTCACAATTCTCCAAAGCGATGGGGCGGTACCCAGGGCAGGGTGTTGTGGCTTGTGTTTTGGTAGGTGTGCCACACCGTCTACCTCTACCTCTATCTGCCAGCTCCGATGGCTTTGGCTGATAATTATTGATATGCCGGGTGTCTGGTCGGGTGCGTCTCGCGTGCTGACTTGACAAAAAGGCTGCCTGTTGCCTGCTGCTCCGCGCAATGCCATCAAATGATTAACTAACGGATCAGTGTGGTGTGTGTGTGTGGTGTGGTGTGGTGTGGTGGTGGGGGGCTCTAGTCTGTTTGGAACGTGCGAAATGGGTGAAATTTTGTCGGCTACCTGGCGTGTCTGAGTGCCTGTGCCATGCGATTTTACACTACAGAAATTATGTTTCAATTATGCCAGAAAATGAAAGTTGCTGCCGATCAATTGAATGTCTCAATTGCTGGTCTTTAGGTGATGTCAATAATCCAGTGGATAGACTTTAACGGACATCTCAACTCTCAGAACTCTGTGCAGAAAAAAGTTCTTAAAGGATGCCTCGTTCCCAGAACAGACAGCCATCCGTCCGTCCGTTGGCTTGGCATTTCAACATGTTTTTGGCAAACCTATAATTAAAAATCAATTTGGCCCAGAGGAGGGTTCCTATTATGCAAGCGAGAGCAAAAAACAAAAACATGATCATAATACTTGGCCACGTTCGTTGTCTGAGTCTTTTGTTTTGCAGTTTGTCAAAGGTTCAGGCAGCTGCCTGCCGTCTCTGCCGCCGCCAGACATCAACGTGAGCCGCACATATCAAGCATAATATCTTAAGTTGGGTCTATGCTGGGTTCAGGCCATGTCAGGCAGAGACAGAGACGAAGACGGAGGAGTCGGCGCGGCTCGAGTGGCTGCCACAGAAACCCATTAATGAGCAGCAGCACACAGTCAGCGCTGGCATTTGACAGATTTTTTAATTAAGGCATACAAATTGCGATTCTTCACGCTCCACGAAAATTATAGCTGGCAAATATTATTATCGGTACCCACCAGTTGGCGGCGAGGCGTGAGAGAGCTGCGCCTCAGTAGTTCGTCGGCATTCCAGCAGGAGTGCTGCTCCTCCGATAGCCGAGGTAATCACTGAAAATACCAACCTTATCAGATATCGGCTATCTGGCAGCTGCTGCTGGCTGCTGGCTGGTGGTGGCTGCTCCCGCACAATAAATGGAACCCAAGGAGAGAAGGAAATTTGCATAGGCAGGCGCCTGCCAAAAGCTAATGAATTTTTCTTGCCCGCTGCCCGCTTACATAATTATCCACGCTATGGCATTATTATGGCCCGGCCTGGCCTGACCAGGTTCGGACTTGGCCCAAGTCCAAGTCCAGTGGCAGTCCTGCTTTTGCTCCTTTCACTTTTGCGGCGATCGCCTGCCTGCCGCCTGCCTGCCTGCCTGCCTGGTGCCTAATTATTCCTGCCCGGCCGTGTCCATTGTGTCTACTGTGATTTCGCACATAATTAAACTGCGCAAAATTTACATTAAATTAATAGTTTTATTGTTTCGTCCGCGCCAGAGCCCAGGCTCTCAAGCCATGCGGAAACGCTGCCCTACCAAAAATGGTCAACCAAAACCCCCGCGATACAACAAACAAAAAAGCGCAGGAGAGAAGCGGAGAAAAATCAAGCCATTGACACCGCAGCCGCCGTCGGAAATACCCAAGAAAAAACTTGGCACACGCAAGATTAATGCGGCACAAAATTATTGAGGAATTTATGCAAAAAGTTAATGGCAGTTTGGACTGGTACAAGCTCCGATCATTTCACTTTCTTGCCCGATCCGATGCTTAGATGACAAGATGGATAGATTCTGGAGAGACAGATTGAGGAATGGTGTCTCAAAAGCCTTAACCCATCAGTGCGGAACGTGCACTTTGGTTATAAATGATCGACAGTACGAGAGAATATTTGTGGATGGGTTCTTGGACTTGGGCCTGTAAAGGGAAATCCAATGCTTATGCTAAACAAATGTAAATGCGAATTTCTGGGTAGAATATTAATTTATTTATACATAAATGCATATTCTTAAACTTAAACATATTTTGTGTAACTTATTAACTCATTTTTGAATCAAATTAAAATATATATGGGTCTCGATATAAGGAACATCTCCAATGCACGATACACATGAGAATTCTTATACCAATTAATATATCCGTAAAATTGTTTATTCTTGCCGTTTCCTTGGAAACAATTGAGAGTGGGACTTTTATTTTTTTTACATCTTTTGAGGGTTAATTTTGGCTAGTCCCCCTCCTTTAATAGACCTGACCCACTTGCCATAATCACCACGAGAAATGGCAAACCCAAATACAGGTTTTGGCTAAGCGTGAAGCCAATTAAGGAATCGGCAGAACCAGGTGCTAAAAGGTCGACAGGTAGCCCCACTAACGGAGCTGTTTTTAGTTTACACGCGACCGTTGCTCCGATCGGTTATCGCAATGAATTGTAGGCCAAGTGGAAGTGCCATTGAAGTTGCCGTCTTTGCCTGGCTGTGGCTGCACGCGGCGGGCCGGGGACAGCAACAGAGTCTGGCGTTGGGCGTCTGGCAGCCGACGCTGGGCGGCTACTACCTGGACAATGGCACCCACTATCTGCTGTACGAGAGGCCGATGGTGACGCGGCCCAGCTTCCTGTCGCTCTCCCATTTTGGCAACATCTCCAGCAACCCGGGCGTGAATGCCCTGGAGACTCTGGACCATCTGCCCACCAGAATTGTGGGTGGCAAGAGGATCAAGTGCTCGAGGGCGCCCTACCAGTGTGCCATCAACTACGAGAAATACTTCATCTGCGGCTGTGTGATCCTGAATCATCGTTGGATTCTCACCGCCCACCACTGCATCGTGGGCGGGGCCGGGAAGTACCAGGTGCGGGCGGGCACCACACAGCAGAGGCGCGGCGGCCAGCTTCGCAGCGTCCAGAAGATCATCGTGCATGCCGGCTACAACGGCTACACCATGAGGAACGATCTGGCGATGATGAAGCTCCGCAAGCCGCTCAGGTACAGCCGCTGCTGTCAGCCCGTGCGCCTGCCATCGCGGAAAATTAAACGCTTTCCACGCTGCTACCTGGTCAGCGGCTGGGGCTTGGCCTCGGTCAATGCCCAAAATGTGCAGCGGTATCTGCGCGGCGCGCGTGTCTGCAAGGTGAGCCGCGGCAAGTGCAACAAGATGTACAAGGGCACCGGCGTCAGGATCTACAAGGATATGATCTGCGCCGCGAGACGGGGCAAGGACAGCTGCTCCGGTGACTCTGGGGGTCCACTGGTCCACGGGAACACCCTCTATGGCATTGTGTCCTTTGGCATTGGCTGCGCCAACCGCAAATATCCGGGCGTCTATTGCAATGTGAAGCGATATGTGCCCTGGATAAGGAAAGTCATGCGCAAGTATTAGTCAATAAAAGTATTAAAAAATGCAACGGAAAATTATAAATATTGCGGGTAGAAGAAGTTTATTTTCGTAGAGATCCCTGAGCCTACGAGTATGCTTCCGGGTTATTCAACTTTCTGATTGTGAATAAACCCAATAATATTCAGAGCTCAGGCACAGCAAAATCAACGCTAAAGAACGGCTTCCCTAACTCTTGTTATACGGTTCCATATGAGTTAATACCTATGATTATACGATAAAACTAAAAGCGCAGTATCGTAAAGAATGCCCATATCTACCAGACTGTTGAATCTGAATCAGATCGGATCATAATTATAGCCAGAATGGCGAAATTCATTTTCAGTTGCTTCCCCTGCCCCCTCCAGCCAACGACAACACAACTCATTTTCCATCTCGCTCGCACACTCTGCCGCGTTCAGTGCGCGAGCAACTCCTAGCGGAGGAGATGTAGAATATGAATGGTACATCTATAATCTACATGTTAGATGTAAAATATACATTGTAGATGTAGATGTAGATAACAGATGTAGCAAAAAAATGTAAAATGTAAAATTTTTTTTTAATTCTAAAATTCTAAAAAATCATAAGCTCAAAAATATATATACTGAATGAGTACGGGCAAAGACTCTATAACACAACAAGATGCGTAACGAGGAAGAAAAAATGTATGACAGCAGCAAAATTTTAAAAGAAATCTAACTCCACACTTGCGTATGTGTGAGTGCGCTACACAAAATGTATTCTATTTTTAGAATTTCGTTGTTACTCTGGGCATACACACACTATGTACATATGTATGTATGTGTGTGTTCTACAATTTTTGCCGTCTGAAATTCTGACTCTGAATCCAAATTTCGTATTTCGTCAAAGCTGCACAATTCTTAATGATGAAAACGAAATTAAGCTACTGCAACTGCTTAGGAAAAGAAATACGGACGGTGGTGCAGTGGCGAAGTTGCTTGCGTACGGAAAGTGTGAGCCAAGTTCAATTCCCAGCGAAAGGTGATGATTTTTTTTTCTTTGGCGTTATCTTTATTTTAAAATCTAATATACTTAATAATGAATGCCATGAATAAAACAAAATTCCAAATTAAAAATAACAAATATAATAGCCACTGAAAATTAACAAAAAAAAAAAATACAGAATAATCAAACAAAGAAAAAAGTTATAAGTTATTCCAAATGAAAAAAGCAGGGGCGGGAAAAAGGAGGGGCCCCCAAATTGATGGTTGCCTAGGGCCCCGTTGAGGCTTGATCCAGCCCTGCCCTACTCCGCTTAAACTTTAAAAGATATTCAACAAAGTAGATTTGGAAGGCATTGTTGAAATGATTTTTAGCGTCATATTTTAGCGTATATTCATTTTTGTATATTTTGGGAAAATTAGTTAATTTTTAGATAGAGTTGGTTAAAGAAAAAAAAAAAAAAAAAAAGATAAAAATAAATAAACTTGCACTGAGTGAGAGTGAGACTTAAACTCGCTTAATTTCGCTTTGCAGTCAGCCACTTAGTACGCTGCGCCACGGGCTTAGGAGAAATAAAATCGTCAATATGTCACGTTGATTCCTTTGTTGCGACAGAACATACGAAAAAATGCACTCACACAACCAAGCGCTCAAACACGGACAAGACAACGCACACATAGACAAATCGAAAATCCACATCGAAAATCCACGCTAAAAATTTCGTGTGCTTTTCAGCAGTATGGTCGTTACGCATCTTGTTGTGTTATAGAGTCTTTGGTACGGGTATAAGTAGAGTCGCGTCCCCAGAAGCGACTCGCACGTTCCTTCTCGTTATATATGCATGTATGTATTTATAGTGGTATAATCCAACATATAAATGACAGCGGCTCTGGGCTGCCTGCCCTAAGAATTTGTCAACAAGCCAATCAATATTCATGCAAACTTCAGTGGGTCAGCAGCAGCGGTGTCGTGTGTGCTTCATTAGCATTTTACAGAGTCCGGGAGTTCACACACCCAAAGGTCGAGAAATCGCTAGGCATCCAGTTTGAATTTGGTATTGGCGTTGTATGGTTTATTTGCTTTTGTACGGATGAGGATGAATCTGCTGCTACTGCTGCTGCTGTTCTGCGGCCACAGAACATGGGCCACATCCCTCAATAATCGGATTGTGGGTGGAGTGCAGATCCCCATTGAGGTGGTACCCTGGCTGGCCTCGCTCTCTGTCCAGGGCAACCATAGCTGCGGCTCGGCATTGATTACCTCGCGGTGGCTCGTGACGGCGGCCCACTGTGTCCTCTATCCGGAGAGGTACTCTGTCCGTGCCGGCTCCTCGTCCGTTCGAGAGGGAGGCCAGCAACGGGCTGTGGTCAAGATCCTCGTGCATCCAGGTTTCAGTTCGCACACACTCGTCCATGACATTGCCCTGCTCCAAACGCGTGAGCCCTTCAAACTGGGGGGCAATGTGCAATTGATAAAGCTTCCTCTGCCCGGCCTCAGTGTGCTGCCCCAGACACTGCTCGTCGCCGGCTGGGGAACAGTGCACGAGAGAGCGAACGCCACGGAGGCCAGGCTGCGGGGCACCCTGGTGCAGATCATCGATCAGCGTCGATGCCGACGCCTCTATGGCGTATGGGGACGCCCCATCACGGATAACATGCTCTGTGCGGCAGCAGCTGGAAGGGATCACTGCTATGGCGATTCGGGCTCTCCTCTGGTGCATGCAGGCAGCAGCTACGGCATTGTGTCCTTTGCCCACGGCTGCGCGAATCCACGTTTCCCCGGGGTCTACACCAGACTGGCCAACTATGTGTCCTGGATATTCGGTGTGCTGAAAAGTGAAGCCAATTAAATGATAATAAAGATTCTTTTTATGTGCAAAGTGACTCGGCTTATGTCACACGTCTTTTGGCTGCCCATCCTCCTCCCCTTTGGGCAGGATGAGAGCAATCTGCTTCGTGTGGTGTGGCGGCTGCTGCTCTTCCTGCTGGGATGTTCGGGATGTTATACAATCTGTAAGCGTAAGCGTTTAACCATCCTCCTGCAACTGCATTCGTGCCCCACCGCCAGAGAGCGATAAACTTATATTCCAGCGGGCCAGTTGCCAGCAGTTGCCAGCTAGTCGACGGCAAATTTGTGTAAATTATGTATTTGTGCATTTTGATTTCATTTAAACGAAGTTTCCTGATGGCCCCCAGCGCATGTCAAATATCAAAAACCGAAACGCGACTCTGGCAGCCACTTGCGCAACACATATCCAGCAATCCATATCCATATCCCCACATTCACATTCACAACATCCACATCCCATTGCCGAGGTCCCATCCCATCCCCGTTCCTTTCCGATCCGATCCCATCCCAGCTGGCTGGCTGGCTGGCCAAAATATCACTGCCATATGCCATATGCGGTGGGCGTGCTCCGTTAATGCTGCACTCTGGCGGCCCCCCTAAAATTAACATAATCGTGCTGCTGTGCTGTGCTGTGGCTGTGCCGCGCTGCCTGTGCCTGCTTGTGCCCGTAGCCCGTCGTCGCATTTGGCGCCCCAACAAAGTGTTGAATGCTGGCGCTGCCTGTCAAGTGGAGGCTCCCAGGCATTGGCACACTCATGTTGACTTCAGACCACAGCACAGCACAGATCAGGCTTCAGTTTCAGCTATAGATCCAGCCACGCTCCTGGGACTGCATTGCTCGTTGTGCAATGGGAGCATCAAATGTGGTTTGACTTTTTACAGGCACTTTTTGTTTTTTTTTTTTCTCTTTATAGTTAAAATAGATTTTAATAATAATATGAAAAATACGCTTAAAAATTTGCATTTAGCAAGTGTATAAGTATGTCAGTGTATATATGTATATATATATGGTATATTTATGTGTTTGTGTGTGTATGTTGTGTTGTGTTTTGTTTTTGTATATAGGGTATATCAGCGCTGCAATCTCAATCATCGTCTGGTAGTAGTACGGGGGGGTTTTGGGTTCTCTTTATAAGTATGTATATTTCGTTATCATTAAGTTACGCTTACACAATTCATTACGTATTCTAGCCTAAATGTATACCATCCATTTTGTTTTGTTTTGTTTTTTTGTTTCGTTTTCGTTTAGTTCCACACTCTACTCGATTCGCTTTTACAATATTGGATTCTCTTTCCCTCTCTTTCTGTTTGTTCTCGTTCTTTTCTTTTTGTAAATTTCAAACTAGTTTCTATATGTGTACAAAAATGATTTCAACAGCAAAACTCGTGTGCACGCTCGGTGCGCTGTGTTCGGTTCGGGAGGGTGGACCAAAAGCGAATACATACATACATACACATACATACATACATACACATACATACATACATACACATACATACACATACATACATACATATATATATATATATATATATATATCTATATGCACAAACGAATCGATTGCCTTTCAAAAATATCAGTAAAAATGTGTGTGTGTGTGTGTGTTTTTAAAAATCGATCTAGCCGCGCACGCACAATAAAAAGTTATACAAAAATGAGACATTTAACATTTCACAATTACAAATACAATTACAATTACAAGCACACATTAATTAATTGGTTTATCCTCTGTTTTTAACATTCTCTTTGACCAATGCAAAATTTAAAGCTATATAACAATTTGTTTCTCATTTAGTTTTCATTTTTGCATCTCTCGTTTTGGACTCTTGTTTTCGATCTGCACTCTCCTCCTGGCTGCTGCATTTTTTTGTTTTTTTTTTTTTTTTTTTTTTGTGTGTGTTTGCCTCCACTCTACAAAAGCTCCAACAACTCTGTAACAGTGTGGGTGTGTGTGAGTGGTGTGTATCTACTAAGGGCCTCGAATCCCATCTCAACAGCAGCCACACGCCACTCAACTTTCTATTACGATTAGAATGTGTGAAGAGTAGTAAAATAATTTCATTGCTAGTTGAGTGGCGTCTCTCTGTGTGTGTGTGTGTGTGTGTGTGTGGGGTGATTTCAGTTATTGCAAACGTGTTATCAAGACTCAAATTCTGTGGTTTAATGTGGGCACAGGATTCCAGAGTGTTCAGAGACAGAGTGGTGGCGCGAGTCCTGGCCCAGTCTGGTGTGTTGTGGTTGGCTGTCAATGCTCTCTTGGTTCTCTTTCTCTCTCTGTTGTATCATCACATATTTTACAGTTTAATAATACTTTCTTACACATAATTTATTAATTAATTCATATTTCTGCAGTTGGTAGAGCTAAATTGCTGTGGTTTGCTGTCGTTACTGTGGTTCTTTATTGCCGGCCATTGCACCAGCACCGCCGCGCACACCAGCCAAAAGCCAAAAGCCTCAAGCAGTCGATTCTCTGGTTCTCTTGTTCTAGTGGTGGACTCCTACTCGCCTCCCTTCTCCGTTGACACCTCTCGAATCTTGCTACTGAGTCCTTGTTGTTCCTTATGACAAAAATGGATTTGTTGCTCCTGCTTCCGGTTTGATCCAAGGCATGTTGTTGTTTTGCTGCAAGATTTTGTATTCAATTAGTCAGTGTTTTAATATATTTATGAATCATATTTAGCTTTAAATTAAGGAAACAGCTAACTACATGCAGAGTCAATTAATAGTTACTAAGGGATTAGGTTTTGTGAAGGTTTTAGGAGAGACTACGCACTAGTGATCGTTTAGAGGCAGAGAGCATGAGCATGCACATTCGAAAAAACATTTTACCCATTTGCATTTATTGCATTTTGTATGTGTTTTATTTAAGCGTCCAAGCCTCCATGGTTGGCTACAATTAGAAAATATTATGGATCAACGGATGCGATGGCATTCCATCTGCTAGTTAAAGAGATGTGGTTACGTGTTGGGTGGATGGCAGCAGCAAAGGAAACCGATTTGGATTACAATAATTGTAATCATAAATTTTTCAGCGCAAAAACGAAGGTTCTTCGGATGCCTTAACTATTATTAACAGGCGATATCCATCGGTAGTGCACGCTCGGTTCTCTGGCATTCTCCTTTGCAGCATTCGCTTGTGCATTAGATCTAGCAATCTAAATCACTCTTTCTTCTACTCTCCACACTCTACAATCGGTTTCCTTCACTGCCTTCTCCAGTAAAGCAGTTCTGTAGCAGCAATTTGTTAGAGAGATCTCAATACTTGCAAGTCAACGAAAGATCAAATAAAAGTAAGAATAACTAAAGAGAATCAAGAGAACAACTAAAGCAAGCAAAAAATGAACAACAAAGACGAATAAACGACAACTTCTGGCAGCAGCGGGCAAGTGGAGCAACAGCAGCACAACTTAAACGCTGAGGAAAAGACATCAAATCAGACACAGCACTCACTTCCAGCTTGCAGGCAGCAGCCGTGGACATGCCAAAGTTGCGTACATCTTCAGTTATATCCCCAAAGGGTAATTGCATGGGTGCAATTTTGATGCCCGGCGTTTCGGCCAGCGAATCGGATAGGGCGCTGCTATAGCTGGACGCATAGGTTGAGTACAGCCCCGGAGTGCCAAAGTTGTTGTTGTTGCTGTTGCTGTTGTACATATCGGATATATATCTCGGTTCAGCTTCGTGGGCTGTGGGACTATTGAAGTAGGGACGCTGCGGCGTCTCGCTGAACAGATCCATATTGCGTATGCTGTCGATCCCAGGACTGGTTTGGCTGCACAGAGTGTTGCTGGGGCTCTTGCTGATGTACGGATAAGTATTGATTTGTTCCGTCATCGACTGTGGATGGAGGTGGGGGTGGGGATGTTTGTGGGGTGGTGTGGCAGAGGAAATGACGGGATTACTAAACGCACTCAATAGCTGAAATTCTTCGTTGCCTGGGGCATAAACAGAAGCCATTGGCATGCCCAAATTGAGGCTAGTCGGACGCACGGGTGGCGGTAGTTTCAGCTGCGATTTAAAGACATTTGCATGCAACAGTTGCTCGAAAGTAAAATGACAAAAAGGCAAACCAATAAACAAAAGAGGAAACAAAATGCACAAAAGTAAAATGAATGAAAATAGGATTGTTTTTTGTTTGGAAAGAAAACCGAGAAAGTACCGAGAAATCATTAGAGAGAAAGAGAAAAAACCTCAAACAATAAATACAAGTACGAAGTAGATTTCTCCCAACACGCCGCTCCCCCACTCACCTGCGACTGACTGACGCCGCCACCCATTACGGGCGCCCAGGGATCCTGGTTCATGCTGACTGCAAAGGGCGCCTGCTGTTTTAGCTGGTTGATGGACGGTACCTGAAAGACAGCAGCATTTGAATCAATGTAATCTCTAGTTCCGCTGGAGGCAACACTCACGGCTGGCTGCTGTTGCTGGAATAGATTCGTTTTGGGTGGCATCACGTTGTCGCTGAATGGATTGTAGGCTGGGGCATTGCCCGATTGCGCTTGTGGCGCTATCGGTTTGATCAGATTGTCCAGATTAACCAGCGCCGAGTTCTCGCCGAGGAACGAGTGCGGGTCCTTGAGCGGTTTCTTTGCGGTTGCGCCTGTCGAGGGATGGACAGAGCTTTGACTGCTGATGGCAGCTCCATTGCCGTAGTTCAACGAAAGCGGATCCATGTCGTCGAGCAGAGAAGCTACAAGAGGTGGTTAGAGATGAGAGCACAGAGCAAAAGATCGTCAGGATGATATTCTTACCATTGTTGTTATTGTTGGAGGCATTCGAATGGCTTTGATCGGCGCTCTTGTTGCGGTTGGTTATCAAATCGAATTCATCAAACTCGGGGGATTGTTTCTGCAAATGGATAATGGAATAATGGGAATGGAATACTCATCATTCTGGGTATCATGCTGGAGCGTACCTTTATAGCGCCCGTTCCGGCTCCAAGTGACTTCCAGGGATCATCCAGCGCTGGCTGCGCCGGTGCTCCCAGTGTCCAGGGATCCGCTGGGACCATGGCTGCTGCACCCGCTGGCTCTGCCAGCCAAGGGTCCGCAGAGGCGCTGCCATTGATGCCGGCATGGTTGTTCGCTGGAGGCGCCGCTGCCAAGGCACTGCCTGCAGTGGTTCTCGACATTAGAGCCTCGAAGGGAGCGCCGCCTGCAGGCGTGGCACCGCGACCATTTTGATTGGCATTCCCATTGGTCTGCAGCCAACCCTCATTCGAGGAGCCGGAGGCCACGGAAGGTGATTGTGTGCGCAGACCCCATGCATCACCGCTAGCTGTGGCTCCCATTCCTGAGGGTCCTCCCATGGCCGAGCTCATGGGCACACCGGCGCCCATGATGGTACGCGGTGCGGCCGAGGGGTGCCAGGGATCCACTTGCGGCGAGGAGGTGCCCGACCAGGGGTCCGACAGCTGACTGGGAGCACGGGCGGCACCGGGCGTGGCCCAGGGATCGACAACGCCCGCAGGGGCGCCGCCAGCAGCGCCCAGCGGCGGACTCGAAATGCTTGTGGCGCCCAGCGAAATGTCCAGCAAGTCCAGCAGATGGCTCTGGGGTTCTTCCTTCTTGGGTCTGGTAATTGGTTGGCCGCTGATGGTGGAAATTGTCAGAGTCTGCGAGTCACAAGAGTCGCGAGTTCTACTCACTTGAAGTCCTGCTCGCTCTGGCTGAGGGCCAGCTGCAGGCGGACATCGTCGCTCCGTCGCTTGGCCTCCTCCTGCTCGGCCTCCTCGCGCGACATGGCCATCGCGAGCTGCAGCTGTAGTTCCTCCTCTCCCGCGGTCTGTGGCCTGACCATTTCCAGTTCCGATTGTGATTTGGGCGGCTCCTCTTGCCAGCCCGGCGGCATGTCACGCTGCGAGGGCCCATCAATGTAGCCGTCGCTGCCAAAGCCGCTGGGATGGAGGGCAAAGCGCTCCTTGGCCTTCAGCGCCTTCACCCGCTCGTTCTTGAGCCGCTCGTCGTCCTTGAGGAGGTTCACCAGCTGCTTGGCCTTCTCGCGCACATGGGTGCCCTGGTCCTTGCCCTCCTCAAAGTACACGAACTCGCGCAGCGTCTGAATGGCAAAGATGTTCTCCTTGCACTGCTGCGCGACCTTCTCGGTGCCCGTCTTGATGAGGTACTCGAGCAGGATGAGCGCCTTGTAGACGTGGCGCCAGTTCTTGCCGTGATCATTGAGACGCTTCCAGATCATTTGCATGATCTCCGAGAAGGCCACCACGTTGTAGGTGAGATCCGCTATCTCGCCCATGATGGCGGCCGAAGGACCCCATGGATCATTCGAGGTGGCCTCGCGCACTTTGACCTGCACAGAAGAGAAGAAAATCTAAGAAGGACTTCTAGGGCAGAACCATAGTTCGGTTCACTCACCTGGGCATCGGAATAGTTGTGCGCTAGGTTCTTGATGTTTCTGCGTAGACCGGCAACATTGACCTGCATATCGTCCTTTTGCTTTCTCACTGTGTGACGAGAAGAATAGAGGCGGGTGTTAGCATTGCTATATATTAAAGATCCTAAGCTTCTAAGCTCTAGGGTGGGTTCAGGGTTCAAGGTTGGGTTAGGTTAGGGTTGTGGCTGTAGCTATGTTAATCTGTTCTGAGGATTAGGTTTTTAGTTTATCAAATGTTTGATCCTTTTGTCGTATGTTTTCTGTTCAATTTGGATTTACGTTACTAGAATTTTGTTGTTTTTTGTTTTGTTGTTTTCTGAAGTATATTCCGGGGTATAATGTGTGGGCATGTGGAATCAGTACATAAGCAAAACAAGAGAACACAAGAAAGTTTAATGTATGGTATGTTTAAGGTTTGGAATGGAGTGGGTGTCTGTAGCGGTGGCAGTGGGGGTTTCAGTTCTGTTCTGTTCTGACTCTAGATCTGACAGATATTTCTTTAGCCTATTAAGCACTATATGGTTTATGTTTTATGGTATTTTTGTGGTTTATTTGTATGCGGTGTACGATGTGGAGAGAGAGAGAGAGATTATAATTGGAATATGAATTAATATTGAGACTTACTTTTCGTTTCGTTTTTATTTTGCTACACACACAAGAAACTTTTGTGACTTTTTTTTTTATTTGGATTGTGTTCAAAGGCTAGAGGTTTTCTTTGCTTTTATTATGGTTTCGTTTCGTTTTTTGTCTTTATGTTTATTGCTGTTTAAGTGCTCCAAAGCAAGCTAAGTATGAGATACAAGATAAATACAATCAAAATACATGGTATAAAAGTACAGATACAGTATACAGAATACATATAGTTATATATATAGTATAGTTAGATGACGGCCAAGATCTCCAACTTTTGCAACACTCAAAACACACAAAAAGGGTGCAACAATATCAAAAATGAGTGAAAGAAAAAAACACTTTAATGTAATATAATTTTTTTGTGGAAATCGAAAGTCGAAAAGGGCTGCCGCAAGTCCGCACGCGTTCACTACCTTGGGAGATCCAGCAACCCAAGCCAAGGGCCCCCGACCCCCAGCAAAAATAATTCAATTTGTGCCAAACAAAATGTGCAACAGAAAAAGGAATAACAACACACGAACCAGTGCACCAATACCACAAAAACGGAAATAAGCTAAGAGTGTATCCAATCGATCCCCAAAGCAGACTGTGCAAATACTCTTTCTGGACAAACAAAAAGATGTTTAACGTATACAAATGTGTGAATGGATAATATTTTACATATGCTTCAACAAATAATGTTATCAATGAGTGTAAATTGATCGCTGAGAAGATTTTGAATACAACATTTCCCCTCAATCGATTTCGAGGCGGCAAACTGTTCCATTTAGCTAATGGAACCCACCAGAGATTCATGCAGGGGGGGCCTTATGCTTGAACTTAACCCATGACAGACCGCTAGACCCCAACAAGAAGCCGCAAAAATGTAAAATAACCAATGGGAGGGGAAAGGGGAAAAGAGGCAGACCGACAGGCCTACCCATGTCTGGAAGGGGAATATGCAAATCTTTTGCAACCCAAGTCCGAGTCCGAGTTATGCATTAAACAACAACAATATCCACAAAGGCTAGCTAGAAAACAGCGTGAAATTATAGCAAATTTAATTGATTTTCTCCCCCACTTGTTTTTGGCCCGAGGTGCAGATCTATTTATAAATGCAAAAAAATGCACCCAAGATAATCAAATCGCTATCGATTGTATTGGACGACAACAAAACAGCAGCGAAAGTTCTGTGAGAGAAAAAGAGCGTTAGAGGTCCCCAACCTCATAGACGTCCCCATAAATGTATCACATTGAAAGCGAGCGTAACGCAAATTGGAGCTGATTAGTGATAAGATAGGGGCTATATAGTGTACAGAAATATGTACGTTGTATGTAAGTTAATGTAGGGGGCCAGACACTTAAAATAACCTTGCAGATTAGTCGATGCTACAGAAATGATTAATCATATGCTTATATGTACATATGTATGTATGTCTCCTAGGATCGTTGAAGCTAAATATGTGGATAGGGAAGATTGTAAAACAATCTAGGGGTTTTTGTTTGCTGGAAAAATAATTGAAAACTTTCAGGCAGATTAACAGCTGAGGAATTCGTTTCATAAAACAGGTGAATCATGCAACGCTTCTTCTTTCCTAGTTCCTAGTTCGGATAAGAATAGCTATCAAAATACACAGTTGTCGATTGGACACACACACACACAAAACTATTAGTTATCAGTTAGGTAATTGAGGAAAATCAAACTGTAATTTGAAACTCTATTATCGGACTACTGTAAAGTCCACTATTAAATCGAGAAAATTATCCAGTAGACATGAATGAAAATTTCAGCCATCTTAAGACAGTATTTATAGCTAGTTGAACCTGCTATGCCAAATTAAAGCTAGTTGCACCTGAACTTCGAATTTATAGCTGGGCTGTCCAACCACAATAACCGGTTGTTTCAACTTATTTATTGTCTAATTTTACTACTGTTATTTTACGGTTTGAAAAAGTAGTTAGAAGAATTTAAATGTATGGAATTTTAACCCGTTAATGGCTAGGAATTTGTTTCTGATTTGCACTCAGACATTTTTGTTGGTTTTCCTATCCGATCAAATATTTACTATCTTTTTATTTTTGTTTGTTTGCGAGAAACGCACTTGACACATATTGGAGAGAGCTGCCGCCAGCGGAAGAAACGAGTCAGAAATATACCAAGAACTCGGAATCACAACTGTAACTCCCAGATTAAACCCGTTCTTCCAAGAGTCCAACAGAGAGAGAACGAAAGAGAGGAGATTCATTGACCGCTTTGCTGCCATAGTAAAGATCAGATGCGGGGGAGCGAAGTGGATAACTGTGTTTGTTTGTTTGTTTTCATTCCGCCTGCCTGTCGTCTGTCCCACCCACCCCTCGACGTTGCAGAAGAAGGCGAAATAATTCAATTAAATGTCGCGCAGTAAGAGAGAAAGAGAGAGGAACCACTAGGCAAATGAAGTGCAAGAGTCAGAAGAGTGAGGGTGTGGGGAGTAGCGCGGGGGGGTCGATTGCTTGAACTTGAACAAATTAAATGCCAGACCAGACAGTGCCAAAGAGAGAGAGAGCACAAGTGTGAGAGGACCAAAGTCTCTGTCTGTGTCTGTGGCTGATTTGAGGGGCGGCAGACCGAGGGGAGGCAGAAGCTTTCTTTGTGTTTTTGCACTTGACATTCGGCAACCGGCGACGTTTTATTGCCAAAAATAATACAATATACATTTGTACATATATTTGTGTGGATATATGCATGAACACCGAACGAGTTGTGGATTTACTTTGTTCCAGGGGCAGACTAGGAGCCTTGATGGAACCCGGTTCAATGAACGTAACATGCAAAAAGCTTAACCGCTAAAGCACACTCGGAGGAATCGCCGAAATACCGAATCATTGGAGATCGGAGGCGGCAGCCACGACGTCGCACGATTGTGCGTCGTACTGCAGCAACTGGTGTGCACTCTCAGTATTTTTTCAAATTGAATAGCAATTATTGTAGATATACTCGAGCAAAATATTCCACACATTCACGAGGTTGTTTTCGCGGCATCATTGTCAGACGTTTAGCATGTGTCTACGATAAATGGGTACCATTAACCCTCTCTGTGATCCATTCAATCACAATATAACTCCCAGGTTATTCGTTCGCTCACTTTATCCGAGAGATAATAATGATTTTGATTTATAAAGTCAGAATCAGTGGACGGATCTTCCATTAGCATCAATTAACTACACAACTGACTACTTGGTCAAGAAGACAAATAAATAGTTTAAATAGCGGAATATATTTGCGTATTGTCTACAGGTGTGAATAGGTGATTCTGAAGAATTAAATTCGCAATATAATCAAACGAAAAACATATGCAGAAGCAACCCTTTATCTCCTCAAACATAATATATCTCTCAGTATCTCTTTTGATAAGATTCTCTGAAGGGGAAATATTTGCATTGGGTTTATGGTAATCTGCCTGGCAGACAGGTATAGGGTTAACATTTGTCTTCCACGAAGGTCATTGCTCGCCTGATGCATCCCACTGTGCGCAACTTGAGCTGCTGTTCTCCGATCAGTGGCGGCGACGCTTAGCCGGGGCTTGGGGCTTATCCCCCCCTTAACCACACACTCGCCTTTTTGCATCTGTTGTGCATGCGGGCGTAAAATATGTGTGTGCGGATGTGTGTGTGCGTGATGGGTGCCGCTGCACTGTTGGTGTGAGTGTGATAACGAGTCCCAAATGCGATTAGATTTCATTTGTGGCACACACACACACGTGCACGTATGGTCGGATGGTTGGACAGGGTACAGTGGACACACACACACATACACACTAAACTAGCGGAAAATGTGCGAAACTTCATTCATTACTCATGCCCGGTGGCCCCTCTGCCATGCCCCCGCAGCATAAACCAGTTTTACCTTTCGACCTGGCCTACTACCATGGCATTGAAGGAGAGGGGGGCATGCGGCTGATGACTAATGCAGCGACGCCGACTTATCAGAATCAAAAAAAAGAATTCAGCAAAACTCTTATCAATAAAAGCACGCTAATGCGAGAGCTTTTCCGCGACACAAACAACAGAAATGGGGAATGTTAGAAGGACGTCACAGTTATGGGGGCCAGCCTATAACGGCGCTGGGTGGGGGTAGATCGTTTTAAGATCAAGGTAAAGCGAATCCCAAGCGGAAATTCAACTGAAGAGAAAACCACTGCGCTCTGCCCACGACCGACTGAGCCGCCCCCTCTCTCTGCTCACCTGCTCCACTGCTGCAATGCTCTGCTCTCTTGTTGTTGTGGTTGCTTCGCTGCTGCAGTCGGTCCGTGTCGGTGTGGAGCTCTCTCTGTGCGTACGTGTATGAGTGTGTGTGTGTGTTTGTGTGACGTCGACGGCGGTGACTACTCCTCCCCTTCTATCTAGTTTTTCTATATTTTACGACTTTCTTTTCAAATGCGCTCGCTGCCAGCAAACGGATAGTCACAAGACGGTGACGGGCAACGGCGACGGGGACGACGAAAACAACGACGTCAGCAGAAGTAACGCGCACACGAAAACGGGACGACGCAGATCCTCCGGATGAAGGCGGAATTTGGTGAACGACAGAACGATATTTACACTTTGCACTTTGCACAACACACAAAATGGAGCAGCGGAATTGCTATGATTCTCTTGTTTTTGCTGTGGCTTTTTTTCGCTGCTGTTTTCTCTTGTTTTTGCTGTGGCCAGTGTGACCGCGGACTTACCAATAAAATATACCGTCTGACCCTCAGAAAAATACCAAATTATCCCTTTTCATTTTTAAAATATACCGTAATTAGCCCACTTAATCCCCCTCTATTTAAACAGTGAAAACCCCTCAATTAAGCCGCGGAAAATATATTCTTCTTATAGATCCATCCTTCCTCTTTACTTTCAACAAAATATTACCACGATATCTTTCACCTGAAATACGTAAAATATGTTTTAAGTTGCAAAATATTCCCACTGGTCCACAATGGGCTAATCGTTGCTTATCCATGATCGGAAATCATATTTCTCGATTTTAAAATTCGGTTTCATATTACCAGCCAGCTAGGACACTCAACACTGAACACATAATTTTACCCAATAGATACAGCTATTTTCTATAAGATTTGCTAACTTTGAGGACTCTTTTTCATGTGATTTTTTATAAAAATAAGGTTTAAACAGAAAAGGTCAACAACAAATAAAAGCATAAACGTAAGTGGGAATGAAATGTAACGTATTGAGTGTGTAACGTAACGTCATGTGAGCACTTGTTGCTAATCAACTGGTAGTATGGACGTTTGTATACCCTATATCCTATAATTAATGTTAAAATTAAGTTTTCCAAGCTCATTTTAAACATAAATAATAACGACACGTGAATTGACATGTTTTCGACCAATTCATTTTATTTCTGGATATGTATATCGCTCTAGATACATATTCTCGGAACCTGTAAACTGCAAACTTTCGATGAGATAATTTTAAAACAATGACTGACTAGTTTCTGCATTAATTTGAGCATGAAATTGAAAACATTTCCAGAAGTCTAATATACCCTCTTCCCCAAGGTTATCCGATATCTATTGGCTTCGATTGTGGCTTACTATCGAATGATATTTTGATCACTATCGATAGGTGACTCGTGAAACCGATTAAGCTTAGATTGAGATTCGATAGATTCAACAGCTGATTGCCTGTGAACTTTTATTTAAAATATAAATAAAACTGTGGTTCAAATGGAGATTGACAAATTTTGACTTAAAATACGTCTGTAGATAATAATGGTTGCACGCGAAATAGCCTGAAACTGGCAGCGGGCGCTGCTTCGCGCAGGAACGCCCTAGGCCATCGCCTGTAGGCGCTCCAAACAAAACGAAAAGAATTGTTGCAAACTTTTTATACATCAACAGTTGCGGAAATGTGGTGACGAAGGTGGAGTGAAAATGCTACCCCCTCAGTCCACACAACATCAAGCAGTTGCTGGAGCTGATTAAGACCAGGGGCTGAAAATACCAGGCATGGCACAGGTCGGACGATTGATGATGCTAGGATAAACTGATGAATAAAATTAAAGGATTTATGCCAAACGAAATAAAGATACGCCTCTGTCTTCAATACATATTGACAAGCCATGAATGGTGATACTTTCTGCAGCTGCTGATAGCAAACAAACTGAAAAGGCAAGTGTTATCCTAATTCGTTCTCTCTCTAGACGCTTTCCAGATTTGATTCATGGAAATAGATTTTGTCGAATGAAAATATCACTCAGTAGCTCATTAAAATATGCAGAAAAAGCGACTGTTTCTTTGATATTTGACTTTTATTTACGATTTTTATTTAGAATACCATTTTCATTTTCATATAATTACACACTAAAATCTAATTTCTCATCTTGTTAACGAAACGGATAACAAATAGTATGTAAATATGTATATTTTGTTTTTCGCTTTTCGCTTTTCTTTTGTGTTTTTTGTAGTGTATGTTTGTGCGTTGCTACGTCTGTGTGAGTTGTGTGGTTGTGAATTTTCCGGTGTTGCTGTTTTTGCTAAGATCTAAGTACCTAACATTGTAGATATTCAACGAACGTGTATGGGGGTGTATACAGCTATTAAATATGTGTAATATGTATATTCTTTTATGTGTATGTATGCATATGCAAATATTCCATGCGCTTCCTTACACTTGCACTTCCGTTTTCCGCTTCTTTCTTTCGTTCGTTCGTTCGTTTCCGTTTCCTATTCCTATTCTCCCACACACACACATACGAGAAATTGAGCCCCCAACAAATAAGCTTAAAGCATAAGACAGTACCGTTCGTCAGTCCGTGTTGCGTGGCGTTGCGTCATGGGTCCATGGGTCATCGATACTCTTCTCCAGTTCCGTTCCGCTCCCCTCCTGTCTGTTACCCCCTGCTTGCTATCGAATAAATTCGAATCCACACAAAACAAACAAACAAACAAAAACCTTCAATATGTCCGGTCCCCGGTCCTGGCATCTTTTCGATTTAGCGATCGCTTAAATAAAACATAAAAACTAAATTAACTTAAGGCATACTCGTACGATACACATCCAAATCTCGTCCCCTGCCTGCTCCTTACGTTATGTTGCGTCCCCTCACACTGGAGGGGAACGGGGCCACCTCCTCACTCCTCGGGCGGCTCCTCGGGCACCTGCAGACTCTGGGCCGACTCCGCGTGCACGGAATTCGCCAGCGAATCGGAGTCCTCCTCGAGCACATTCGTTTTGCTCGGCGGCGGCGTGGGCGGCGGCTGCACCAGATTGGGTATATACTCCACCGTCTCGTACTCGGTCTTGGCCACCGACTCGTGGTCCAGGTCCCGCTCGTGGTTGTGCTCGAGAAGCGGATCCACAGGCACAGGCGGCACCGCCTCATCCGCCTCCTTGGGAACGTTGGGCAGCTCTACCCCTGCATTTCCCGTGTCATTGATGGGCATGGGATCCGCGTGGGGCACCACATTTGGCTCCTCAATGTCGAGGATGATGGGCAATGTCTCGTTCGGCTTCGGCGTTGTCGTGCTGGTCGTTGTCGTGGTGGGTGCAGTGGTCGTCACCAGTTCCGTGGCAGCCAATTGGCTGTCGGTCGTCGTTGTCGTCGTCGGGGTCGGTGTCGCTGCAGTGGTCGTGGTGCTCGTGCTGCTCGTGGTGGGCGGAATTGGTGTTGTTGTGGCGGTCTCATTCCTCTCCAGTTCACTCTCCAGCTGCACAGGCCAAGGCGTGGTGGTGGTGGTCGTGAGTAGCGGCGGCAGGGGACCCACCCCAGCGGTGCCAATGATCACCGAATTAATCAGTGGCTGCCCCAACGTGGCTATAATCGGCGGCAGCAGCTCATCGTTGGACTTGAGCAGCGTCGGCACCAGCATCTGCACCACCGGCTTGGCATCCTCTCCCCCAGCGATCTTCAGGTTGGTCATCAGCAGCGGCAGATCAATCTTGTAGAGCATCGGTAGGACGGTGCACACCTCCTGATCGTTTTCGAAGCACTGCGATCGCCCACGGATACGCGCATCCTGAACGGCCATCAGGCGGCACAGCTCATTGAGGCGCACATCACACATGATCGGATTATCTGAGGGATGGTGGGCAAATGATGAGTCAATGATTGACTGGTCAGGGCTGGTCACGGTCACGGTCGAGGTCACTCACCATCCAGATGTATCTCCAGTTTGCCGGGCACATTGTGATTCTTGCAGCGCGTATTGGTGACGAGCTCGCTCGAGATGGTCGTAATTTGGTTGTTCGTCAGATTGGCCTGGCACAGCACGGGCAGTCCGTTGAAGTCCCGCTCCAGTTTGGTGATGTTGTTGAAGGCCAGCTTCAGGATCTTCAGATTGGGAAGCATCGTCTACAGAAGAAGTGAAAGAAATTGCATTTCAGATCCGTACAAATTAGAGCGTCTCGGGATTCAGCACTTACCGTTTCGAGAGGCGTTAGCTCCACCAGCTGATTGCCAGTCATGTCGAGAATCTCCAGTCGTTGCATGCCATCAAAGTCGCCGAGCAATAGATGCTCCAGCCGGTTGGCAAACAGATGCAGTATACGCAGATTGCCCAAACCGGCCAAGGCGCCGTCCAGGGAGATAATTTGATTGTGATCGAGTCGTAGGTCGATCAGCACCAGCTCCTGCACGCCCTTGGTGCTGGGCAAGAGCCGGGCGATGCGATTGTGCGACAGATCGAGGTTTCTTAGCAGACGCAGGCCGTGCAGCTCCTCCATGGAGAACTCCTCCAGGTCGTTGAACGAGAAATTGGCGTTCTTCAGCTTCACCATGGGCAGCAGCGAGGAGTTCAGCGAGCGAATGTGATTATTGGCCAGGATGAGGGTGTCCAGGCGAACGCAGGCCTGAAACTCGTCCTGGGCCAGGTACTCCAGCTCGTTGTTGCTGGCCAGCAGTTCTTCGAGGTCCGGCGAGTTGCGCAGGACGCGGTCAAAGGAGCGCAGGCGATTGAATTGCACGTGGATCGTCTGCAGGTACCGCATACCGGCCATGTTCGCCGGCAACCGCTCCAGCCGATTGTTGTGGGCCATCAGGAGGCGCAGCCTGCTGCCATCCGGCAGCTCCCCGTCCAGCTCGCTGATGTTGTTCGCATTGATGAAGAGCGACTCGAGCACGTGCAGGTCGTGCAGTGAACCGTTGAGCGTCTCAATCTGATTGCGCCCCAAATGGAGTATCAGCAGGCTCTGCGGAAAGGCGCCTCTGTCCAGCCGCGTGATGTTGTTGCTCGGCAGTATGAGATTCGTGACCACCTGGATGCCCTTCAGGTCGTCCTGCTGCACTGCCCGTATATTGCAGCGCCCAATGTCCACGGTAGCCAGCCTCGGCATGTGGTTCAAGACATGCTTCGGGATCTCGTCGAGTTCGTTGTCGCCGACACTTAGGTAGGTGACATTCGATAACCCACGGAACGGCAGCTCGGGCAGCGATCTATAAATAGCGCAAAGACACAAAAAACAGCCACATTTATTACCACTTCGTGCAAGTATTATTAGAAGCCCCGAAATCGAACTCAAAATCATCAGATGGAATGACTGGGCAATGGATACGTTGCCCCGTCCCATCGAGTTATTGATTTCACGATCTGGAAAGATCTATAGAGCAAAACCACTTAAGCAACTGCTAGATTATCTCCTAGCATTATTGATTTAGTGCATCAGTAGATCTGGGAATCAGATGCGACGCCTCTACTATCAGAGCCCACCTCAAAGAACAATCCAGCTGTTTCCGGATAATTCCACTCGGCGCACCTATCACGAAAATCTGAATGAAGTGACGAACTACGAGAATGTTTGTTTATGAAGGCACTCGAGTGAAATGCTCGTAATTGAGGGATGCAGTGTGCGCGGAATTTGTATTCCCTATCTCTGGTATGGGTATGGGGAAATCTCCTATTCATTTCATTCTTTAAACTGTTCCAGTTAAATCTCCCACAGCTATCCTTTCTTTGACAGTGTTCAAATGATTAACAAATGATTCTTGGAATGCTCACATTAGTTTTGAATCGAATAAAGGGGGTCTGTGGCCCTGGCTCCAGCCACACTCTGGACTTGATGACGCGGGCTTATCAGTGACTGGCACCCATACACCCCACCCATAGCCCCCATTCCAGTAGCCGATGCACGCCAGATCTCTGATCTCTGTGTCTTTATCGATGTCTGCAGGTGGCTATTAAGTTGTCGCCGTCGAGGCGCCAAACGGCCCCATGAATGCCATCCATATTCATGATGGGAACTGGGCTGGATGGCGTGCAAATTGGCGTGCACTGGACGGAGGGGGGTAGACTGGCCATAGAGTGGACATCCTTGGCGCCCGTTATTGGTACAGGTACAGGTACAGGTACAGGTACAGGTAGTACGTGCAGAGCCAAAGCAGTGCAGTTTCTAGATTGATTGGCAGACGCTATTTTTAGAGGCATCCAGATCCAGATCCAGCCAGACATCCATCCCAGCCACATGATCTTGATTGATAGCACGGCTCCAGGGAGGAGTCAGAGTCAGAGTCAGAGGCACTTGTCAAGCGTTGATTATGTAATGAGAAAATGCAACGAGTAGAGCTGACTGCAGGAGAACAGGAGCTGCTGCTGTTGCCTGCTGCCTGCTGCCTTTTGGCCTGCCTGCCTCGAAGATACTGTATCTGTATCTATAATGAGCCCGTTGAACTTGAGCACATGTGGCAGTACATACAAGTAGATAGATGGAGATACAGATGAAGATGAATATGAAGATGAAGATGGGTGATGTATACAGACACATACACACATACTTAGAGGTGCACACATCTCTCCCTCACTCCCTCCCTCTCTCACTGTCTGTGTGTGTGTGTATACTATACCCGATATATATCTACAATTCCTTAACGTCAGCGGCATAATTGTCACACGACCTAAGCTTGGCCCCTCGATCATTGATTGAGCGTAATAATAAAATTCAATTGGACTGCCTGCTACTCGGCTCTGGACTTGGACTGACCCCCACAGACTGTAGGAGGAGGAGAATAACAAAAACATGTTCGAACACATTCCATTTAATTCGTAATCATGGGGTATTGACGCTTCGTATTTAGCCCCAAAAAATCAAAACATCGAAACTTTCCTTCTCATCGATTGTTTGCTTTCCCGCCTTCCGAAAAAAAACAACCCGAAAAAAATCCATCATCTACCGTAGGGGAAGGAGGAGTAGGAGAGGAGACCGTGACTGGGTGGGTAGCATTATCGCTAGCATTGGGCCCAGACAGACATCCCATAATTATAATCGAGGGGAATATTCCATAGTCTATTCGGTTGTCCATTAATTATGCACGAGAGTAGTTATCATAATTAATTGTCAGGCGAACGAAGCCGTCAACACTTTTCGCACTTTCTCAGGGCTGCCTGCTGCCTGGCTGCTGCCTGCCTGCTGTTGCTGCTGCTGATGCACTCTGATAATAGCAATAACAACCATATTAATAGCCTCAAACAAATCTGCGAGTGATTGAACATATAACCTACGAGTGTACGCACACACAGACCAATACAAAATACATATGGTATGGTATGGTATGGTATGGTATGGTATGGAATGAGCTTATCGCCTGAGAAAAGCACAAGACCAATGTGATCAATCTATCTATCAAAAAGGTCATATACGAGGGAGTGTATGATTGTATTACTCATTGCATAGCATACCACACCATCGTGATCTTGAGAACATCCACACATTCACATTCATATTCATATTCACATTATTCTCGGGTGTCCTGTGCCGCAGAAAGTTCATTCGAGGCCTCCCCTCATTCAATAGTTGTCTACAACTCGAATGAGCCACTGATTAAACCGATCGTAAAAAGCAATCATTAAAATTGAGTTTATTATTTTGGCGCCAGTCATAAAACCAGATTGTACATAAATAAAAATCAACAAAAAACAATATCTCTTATCAGGGCACTGGTGCGTCCATATGTGATCCATATATGGGCTAAGAATGGAACTTAGAAATGTACTTGAACTACTGGCACTCAAAGCTAAATCTATCTATATTTTAAATGGAAGAAATAGATATATCAGAGCTCTGAATAGATCTAACATAATTGGGATTAAATCGGACACTTAGGTCTTAAGATATATCTTTTAATTATACCAAAGTTCCCTTTCAGTCATTCAAAGAACTGTGCATTTCAGATCGCATCTTTTGTTTTTTTTTTTTTTACCGAGAACTGATCCATCGGCTTGTTCTAAGAACTGGACTACAAATGGGCATGGGTATCATCAACATGTGATGTTTACAATGAAAGAGTTTCTTCATTCATTATGGGGATTGTCTTTCAAATGTTCTGTCGAATCGATAACGCCCGCAATCACAGACAGTGATGAGGAAACTCAACCGAGAGCCGCTGATACGAGGGGGCTGTGAGCGGAGAAATCATGATTCGGTCGGGTCGGTGCCGTTGGTGGTGCCTCAGAGACACAGAAATAAACACAGTCCACAGGGTAGCAGTATTTTTCCTGACTTGGTTGGCATGATTTGGTCAGAGCGCGATATTAAGGCAATAGGTCAATTATTATAAATTGACATCAATGTAAAAAGTGTTCGCCAGCCGCTAGCCGCCACCCAGCCTCCCGTTTCAGAGCCACTGCCAGTGGCAGTGGCAGCACGCGCTCTTCGCTGAATGCAGAGACAGACAGACAGATAGACAGAGAGACAGAGAGACAGAGAGAGAGGGAGAGAGATGCGCAGATCGGAGATTGGGGAGATCGTGCAACAACACTGATTCGATTAGGTTGAGTAATTAAATCATTCAGTTTTACATACGAGTATGTGCACATTCGAATGACTGACTGACTGCATGAATGAATGAATGAATGATTATGAAATGAATGAGAGGGTTAGAAAATTAAAAAACGCTCAAATGTGATCCCAGGAAAATCTAGGAACAGTCATCGGAAGCTTCTGGAAATTCAGACAGAGAGTCTTAATTTATTGGGTAAACACCTCCCAAAAGGGAGGAAATATATTCCGTTGTTAGTGAGTGTCAAAACTATTAAATCTCCCATGTGAGTCTCAGGTGGTATATGTATAACCTTTTGAACCCTTTGACTTCTACGAATTGGCTAATGTTTCCACGACTCAATAGAATAGGGGATTGTTAGCGTTATTTTAGTTTTTTTTTATATTTCTGAAGAACGATTTTACCGCGGTTTCTTCAAGAATAAAAAATACAATAAAATTAACTTGCTTCTTTAAAACTCAAGGAATTAAAAAACTATGCCGAAAATTAAAAGAAATAATTTAATAGAATAAACTCAAATTATTTCTAGATCAAAAAGGCCAAAAAAAAAAGAGTACTTTTTCCCAGAAAATACCAACGATTAACCAGTGCTAAAACGTATACTAAAAGTGATACTCCTTGAATGAATTATCGTGGCGTGGGGCACAAAGAGAGCCTTGAGTCATGCGAGTATATTTTTTGTTTTGAGTTCGAACTCCATTAAAATTGTGAAGCCGTCGAAGTCAAATATCAATGAACCCGCCGCCAGGCGCTTATGAAATAGGCTCGAATTTTGTTTCAACTCGTATATTTTTGCAAACTGCAGAGCGGAAACAGAGATGGGGATAGAGGACAGGGGATCGTATTTATTTATATTTTGTTATTTATTATTTTTAAATTGCAAATATATAAAAACACACACACACTGTGGAATCGGAATTCATTCAGAGTCAGAATCAGAGCCAGAGCCAGCGCCAGAAAACGTGCAAAAGCGATTCCAATAAACTGCAATTATCAATTTTGTATACGCATTAAGTATACGACGCGTCGCTGGCGGTGTCTATAGTCGTATATGCCGTATATACCACATAGAGACTGTAGGTACCGAGATCGCTGTACAGCAGAGACGGGGGCTATATATGTACATAGATGTATGTACATACATCATGTGTACTCGGTGGAAATTGATAAGCCGCGCAGCTATTCAATTATCAATAATACAAAAAAGACGAAAGCCGGGACGGGACGTACCGAGAGAGGCAGCAGCCGCTTCTTCTTCAGAGATGAGATGCTTAGTTGGTACTGGATTACGATAGGATCCAATTCAATTCAATCCAATCGAATTGAATCGGCTTTGGATCGTATCGGATCTAATAATCTGGTGGCGCAGAACAAACATCTTGCCATAGCCCGCGCTCTGCTCGTAATTTGTATCAATTCATGGAATGGCATGGCATGGCATGGCATGGCATCGGCATCGGCTGGTGGATTACCGAGACGGGCCTTTCCACTTCCTAATTGAAAAATTAAAATTAAATCGGTAATTATGACTCGACTTGACCGGGTCCACCTCCATCTGCATCTCAATTTGCCCAATTGACGGTATGGATGGCCATAGATAATGAGGCGTCTCTGGACACTGTCTCCGTCTCTGATCTCTCTTTGGCTTTGACGTCAACTCAAAGCCACCCCGATCCGTACTTTCTGTCCGTTCCGTTGCGATCCGTCCGTTGTTATTGTTTTAGTATCTACTTGGGTTGTAAACAAGCCCTGGGAGTAGCCAGAAAGCACATTTTTTGTTTTTCGTGCATTTACATAAGTAGAATACATGTACTGTATATGGAAATTTGTATACTTTTTTCATTATATTTCGCTCGGTTTTTATTGGGTTTAAGGAACCTAAATTGATAGCCATGCGAGCGGAAAATTCTGCCTGCTTCTCAACGGAATCAGGGAACTGGAACTGCCGCCAGGCTAGGCCAGGGGAACTCTCTCTCTCTCTCTGTGGCTGCCGACAGATTGGCCTTGAACCATGAACTAAGTAGCAAATGATCCACGATCGATCTTCAATTTAAACAAATAATATATATCAAATACAACAAAAATTACCTTAGTCCATTCCATTGCATGCGCAGCTTGTACAAGTTGAAGTTCATATCCGTAAACGAACGCATCTCCAGGTCATCCAGTTGGGAGTGGGTGATCTTCAGGTCGGTGTGCACATCGGGATTCAGCTTATTGGCCAGAGTGTCCACAATGGCATTGAAGGACTCGAGCTTTTCGCATGAGAGCTCCACATAGTTGGAGGCCTTGCCGGTATCGCAGGTGCAGGGCGAGATCTCCGGACGGACCGAGCACTGCAGCGAGGCTATGTGGAATACGGCGTACATGAGGGAAGTCATTTTGTGGCCGTCTCTTCCACAATATTTTCTTTACAATTAATTCTTCAATTCACTTTCTCTGTGTCACGTTACACACCAGTCACAAGTCACGCGTCACAAAGTCACTGTTAACTGTTCACTGTTCACAAATCACTATTTATGCTGTTGCTGTTCTTCGGATCGAGGATGCGGAGGTGCATGCCGTTGGGCGGCGGATTATCAACTGTTTGTACGTCTCAGTGGCGGCGCAGGCAGCTCGGGGAATATTGCTGACTGTGGCCCGTGGTCTGGGGAAAACACACACACAAACACAACCTATGGGCTCGATCGATGGGCTAAGCGAACAGATGTGTGCGTGATGCGGGGGTTTCCATAGTTTTCCGTGCAGGATTTTTGTCGGTTATTCTGTGGAACCGATTCTCACTTTTCGAGCTCTGGCATCGAATTTCACTGACTTCCCGTTGCGCTTATGCTTATGCGTAGGGGTCTAACGGCACACACACACACACACGCACGCAGGGTACGGACCATCGACACACACACACACACACGCTGGTTAGGGCACCCTCTCGGATCGGGGATTTGGTATGGATGGGATTCGGTATGGAGATTGGGCTCCAATATTCACTCCGCCGTACTCGTACCGCGCTCACGCCCGTCGACACGGCCGGGCTGCTCTTTCTCTCTCTTGTCTCTTGTCTCTTTCTATCTCAGTCGTTCGGCGGCTGGGCTGACCTCTTGACCCGCGGCCCCAGTGTACATAGATCGGAGCAATGCTTGGAATTAATCTTCTAAAAAATTGTTGTATTGTTGATTTGTTTTCGAAAAAAACCGCGAGTACTCTGGGACTCTATTCTGTGTTCAGTATTCTGTGTGTGGGTTGTGCTCGTATATGGGTGGGTATGGTATGGGTATAAGGTTCGATCGAATCGATCTCTCGCGCACTCGTAAGTAATATTTTTTGCCCGATTTGTAGCCCGGTGATCACGTCTTTATTCCAGCACGGTCCGTTGCGAGTGTCGGTCTCGGTCTGGGAGTGGGAATCAAAACGCTGAGGATCCGATCCCATCCATCCGTATGCTGCGCGGTCGCTGCGACACGTCGCTGCTGCTTCTGCTGCTTCTCTCACACACACTCTCTCTCTCTATCTCTCTGTCTGGGGTTTTTGTCTTCTGTTTCCGCTGCACTCGCAAATCTCTCGCGTCTCTTCTTTCTCTCTCTATCTCTCTCTCCTGTGGAGCGACTTTTGGGTGGTTTGAGGTGCAAGTTTCGGCCCAAAGGCCATATCTGTATAAGGGGGTGAGGCATAGGTGCTAAGAGGGCGCTCTCTCAATGGGCACCTACATACATATATCTAGCCATGGGCGAAAATGAGAGGCGACTCGGAAGAGCGGCAGTGCCTCTTGTTTATTTAAATATTCCTAGATTAACAAAAAAGGTGAAAGTTTCTCAGAGAGCCCTCTCGGGGTAGATGAGTGGCCTCACCTTGCTGCAAATACACCTTGGCATTGGCCTATTGGGAGGGAGGTGGAGGCCGGCCGGCCGGCCTGCTGCCATGCCACGCCACAATTGTCCACGACACTCAATTACATGTGTTCCTTGTTCTGTCGGCGCCAGGCATCAATCTCCATCTCCCATCGGCCATCTCGATATGCAGCAGCAGCAGCAGCAGTCGGCGCCAGCGCTGCCGCTGCCACTCTGCCACTGCTTGTGCGTGTTCTCCACCAAGATGTGCCCCCTTTGAGCGCGAGGCTGGGAGTTGGCTTCACAGGAACGTAGGCCATGCCGTCGTCGATCTATGTATGGGGCATCATTATCATCGTCATCATCGATGTACGTCGAGAAGGCGATGCATATGGATATGGGCACATGTTCGATACACATGCTGCTGCTACACACATACAAACTTACATAAATCCATACATATGTGTGTGCTTATGTACGTGCATGTGGTGCATCTTGTTATGCTGCTTGTCTGTGTCTCTGTCTGTCTGTCTGGCTGCCACTTTTACGCACTTTTGATAAATTGTCCTTTAGACACTGCCACACTGCTGCACGCACACATGCCCTGCCCTGTCCTGTCGCCTGCAGCAACTTCGGGAGATGTTTTTAATTACATCTTTAAATCTTCTCCGATCCGTTCCGTTCCAGTGCCTTGTGCCAAGATGATCTTGGGAATGCCTAGGCTCTGAGCACTGGACTTTTGGTCAAGGATTAGCGACGACACTAATTGAGATCGAGTCACAAACAATTCAATCCCCCCCCAACAGTGCACTGTGATGAAAATTTTCCATCAAAGCTACTTGGCGCCAGCGCCAGCCTCAATCCCTGGCGGAGGAGGGGGGCCAATGCATCAAAGTCTGCAGCCTTAATTTATTTCAAAGTTCTGGTAAACCGCATACATAATGAACCAGGCAGGGGACCCTTAAATGCCCTGGCTGCGAATTCCGCGCATTCCCCGAGACGGAGACCGCAGACCAGAGAGCAGACCCAACTGAACCGCTTTCAATGCGCGTGCCAGCTCTCCCCTTTTGGGGGCAATTAATCATCGGGTGGAGAGGCCCGCAAGTGCTTGCCACTTCTGCATTCTGGCGGTGACACACACATCCATTTAGGCTGCCATCTCTGGAGCAGTCTTGCGCACTGTTCTCTGTGGGGTGATCCTTTCGTACGATCGATAGAGATTCTCTGTCTAGTATTAGGAATAGATATCGATTTTAACGACCCAAGTTATTGGATCACAAATGACCATCGCATTGACATCCATCTGCTGTTTTCTGCTATACACTTTCGAAACGCACTGTCCCGCGTTGTCCCACTGTCACGACCGAATAACTGTTGTTATTAAAAATATACATCGATTACGTAGCCATTCTATTTATAAAATACAATCATCACAGAGTAAATATTTAAAGAAAAGCGCGATATATTAATTATTATTATTTATTCGTACAATTTTTATTTTCTTTGCTCGATTTTTGTTGTTTTTGTGTTTTTGATTTTTGTATTTCTTCTTGTGTTTTTTCGCACATAAATATCCCCAACAATTTTAATGTGACACTTTTTCGTGTTTCGAATGCAGGCGACAACAATATTAAGAGTAGGTAGGATAAAGAAGGAATTTCGTGACGATGGACGGGTATGGGAGCCGCATGGTCGCATGGAATGCCAGATGGCTTGGGTTAGTTGTGGTATGGGGCCCGGTGTTGGTACAGGTTGTTCCCTGTACCGGCCGGCCCCCTTCGCCACTATTAGGCGCGCGTAGGCTGTTGTAATGGGTCTGTTTTTGCACTGTCGCCACTTGAGCGGATGGCTGCAAATTCCTGATTGTTCGTCATCAGCAATCATGTGCCTTCCGGCGGCTCACGTCAATGGGCGAGTGGGCCAAAATATTTTAGCTGGAATTCGGCTGTCGTCACGGGTCTGTTGGCCAAGACCCAATACGTCATGCGACACGGGGACGCCATCGCCACTTGGGAGGACTGACTGCAATTAAAAGCATTTGGATGTTATCATGCCCTACCATCGCATCAACGTGTCTATAAATTCCGTCCATTGTCCATCAGCCATCGTCCATCGCCTTTGTTTCGGTTAATATGCTCCTTTTTTGTGTGTGTTTTGTTTGTTTTTTGTATCGTTATTTTTTTTGTGTGTGGGTTTAATTTCGTTTCCAGCAGTGTGCGGATATATCGGTTGGGTATTATAATTATAATTATTATTATTATTATTATCATGTTATCGTTTTACTCGGTGCGTCGGGTGTGGTGGTGGTGGTTACTTCCGTATTCTGATTCCAATTCTCATTTCGATTGTGGTTTGACTGCTGCCGCCGCCGTTGTCGTCTCCTCGTTTAAACAGAACTTAGCAATTAACTAAAATTATATATGTACGGTATGATTTAAGGTATAATGTACAACAAGCACACCACACACACACACACACACACACACAAAAACACACACACGAGCGATGTGGTGCGGTGGGGTGGTGGTCACTTGTTAGGCTCCCAAAATGGTTCTTCGTCTACTTCTGCTCGGTGAACTTGGCGATCTGCGGATACTTGCTGGGCGTAAAGTCAACATCCTGCTTGATTCGATCGCGCACATTGCTGCGCATCGCGTCCGTGTAGGACGCTTGGATGGCCGCATCGTGGGTCATCGTATCGATCACAGCATCTAAGTTCACTGAGGAACTGGCGGCAGTTCCGTTTGCACTGACGCCCAGCCCGGCGCTCTGTATAGCCCGCTGCACTCCGCTGGCAATCAGACACTCCACGTTGGCCGTGGGCTTATCCGTCTGGATGATCTTGCGACGCTTGGCGGACATGCCAGAGATGTAGGCGTCGGAGTAGGGTGGCTGTGGCCCGTTTTGCTGCGCAAACACAAAGAGATATTAATTTCTGAACAGGTGTGGTACGTATAGGGGCGGGGGGCACTTACCTCAGTCTGGGTCTGTAGGTCGCGCGTTATCGCGGGCAACCAATCACTGGGGAAACTCATGTGCCAGGACTCTGAGCCAACAACCACCGGTGGAAGAGGTGTCTCTGCTACGGGAGCACTGTTGGTGGTGGTGGTGGTGGGGGCGGTGCTACTGCTGCCAGCCACTTCGGTCATCTCCACGTCCGTGTCGAGCGTTTGCGTCTGTGGCTGCTGCTGCTGTAGATTAAAAGCACGCGACGGTGGCGCAACGAAAGGCTGCGATTAGTTGCGTCTTGGATAACTTTTGATGCTGGAACAGAGAAGTGTGTTGGAAACTTACTTCTACGCCATCAGCGGAAAGGTTTGCCTGCGAGCTACGGAGGACAAGGAACTGTTGGGCGTCAGCGGTGTTTGTCTGTGTTGGAATTTGGGGGTCAACGTAGACCCACAAAGCTTCATTCTGGAAACCTGCAAGAAGATGTAGGCCAGTGATGTTGGTCAAAAATGTTGCCAAATGGTGGATCGTAAGATATACTCACTGGTCCGCAGTGGGGTGCGCAGTATGGTCATCATTTGGTGCCAGTAGATCTCCGCATTGTCACCGCCCAGGCACAGGAAGAGTACGCTGAAGAGGCGTACACGGAACTGCTCACAGATCTTCTTGAGGTTCTGCTCGAACTGGGCCACAGTGCTGGGGCCCGAAATGCACAGCTCCATGACGAGGCGCAGACTCTGGCGCAGGAGATTAATCACAGATTCGCGCGAATTGTATTCCGGAAGCTCGTACTGCGGCAAATAGATCAGGCTGCCGTTGAACCAATCCAGGGCGCGACTAATGGCGCCGGGTATGGTCTCCTCGTTAATGGGCGCCCCATCGAAGACGCTGTTGTTCAGGAAGGTGCTCAGCTCCGAGCGCAGATTACTTGATCTATCACTGAAGGCTACTGATGATGATGATGTCGGTGTGACTGTGGATGCGGCTGAGGCTGCGACTGGGGCTGTGCCAGGGGCTGTGCCTGGGGCTGCAGCTGCGGGTGGTGCGCCCATGTTGACCGCATTTGTGCGGTTGGGTGCGGTTAAAAAGTTTACCATTTCGGCAATTCCGACGCTGACATTGACGGCGCCTGCTAGAGCTGATTGCGCAATATTTTGTACAGTATTAGAAAACGTATTTGTGAGTCTTGATGGTGGGGTGGTTAATGGTCTGTTTAAGCGATTGTGGTACATGGCTTCCATGCGCTGCAATTGACGTCGTGAGATTGTCGCCGCCGACCTTGTGGTGGGGGTGCTTCTGCTGCCTCTGTCAGCTGCCAAGGCCGACTGTACCGACGGCCCATCACGATTGATTGTCAACGGACTATCACGATTGATGGTCGACGGCCAGCCAGGATGGATCAGACGCACTTGGAACACATTTGGTATGCTGATATTACCAATGATGGTGACCGGAGCCTGAGCCTGGGTCTGGGAACTTGATTGAAGATAGGACGGGCTTTCTCGGTTGGCTTGATACGGGGTCAATATTTGCGAGAGCCAGTGTGAATCATTACCACTACCACCGAGTCGATTGCGACCAGAATTGACTGCGATGACATGGATAGAAGGCAGATTAGAGATACGAGAGATGGAAGCCAGTGCCCGAAAGATGTGCCTTGGATGCACACTGCTGTTGCTACCCCAAGGCACACCCTTCTATTGGCAACCAATTTGCATGCATTTTGGTTTCCGACTCCATATCTGTGCAATGCGAGCGAGCATGAAGAAGCGTGCGGCGCAGAGTGGCGTGGTGTGACAGACAACGAAGATGTTCTAAACGATAGCTATAGCTACCCACTCATCGGTGTAGTAATACTTACCAGAATTCGCTGCTCCGCCTGCAGCCGCGGCTGCTGATGACGAGCCCGATGACGAGGCACCGCCTGCTGCTCCTCCTGCGGGGGCTGGGTTTGTCCTGCGATTGTTGTTGGTGCTGCTGCTGTTGTTGTTCTGCGGCAACGGCTCCGGCTCGCGAATGTGGTGGCTGTTGCAGGGCAGGAAGCGATCGAAGGCCGTGTGAGTCGGCGCGATGCGTCCGCCCCAGTTGTTGTTGCCGCCAATCTGGATCTGTGGCCGTGAGGTGGAGCGCGTCTGTGTGGCGGTTGTCGGCAATGTGTTGGCCCGCTGCTCCCCACTACGCGTGCCTGTCGAGGTCGAGGCGGTGGCTCCTACACCGCTGCCGCTGGCACTATTGTTCGCCGCGGAAGCTTGTTCATCAGCAGCAGTTGCACTCTCGGCGGTCGATTCGGGAGCAGACTCTGGTCCCGGGGCTGGGGGACGTGCGGCAGCAGCCACCACATGCACGGGCAAGTTGATGGACATAATGTTGGGGGCGCTGAACTCCACCTGCACATCGTTATTATCGTTGGTGGCTCTGTTCACCACGGCCTGAATGAGACGGGCCATTTCCATCTGGGGATCTGCAAAATATGAAGCATTAGCACGGTCATCTTAACGCCAAATGCGGGCAAGGAAAACATATTAGAGGCTGGCAAGCCAAGCAAACAAAAATAAGAACGGAAAAAGGTTAATACGGAGCTGAGAGTCGCAGCTCGGAACAAGGGGTGCAATCGTGAATGAAATGGGAGTTACGGGACAATGCCTGAGATGGCGGGTAAAATCAACAACAATCGAACAACAAAACATACTGGGCGGTGGCAGGGCCACGGGCATATACAGCCGCAGCCTAGGTGGCACTCGGGGACCTTCAAACTGATCTGGAGCTTCATCTAGAAATTCGACAAAGGACATAAGGGCGTTTCAGAATTCAGGATACGGTGTACAGTTTAACGTTTACAATTATGGAGAGTTTCTCAGTTATTAAATCACAAATTATACACATGAAACGCACTGCACACCGTAGAACACAAATCTCTTACCCAATGAATTTTGTGGCTGTGGTTGCGAGGCCTGAGGGGCTGCATTGGGTGCCACCATGGGCTCATCGACGGGATCCTCAACGGTGCCGCCATCGTTGGGTATGCCAATGGCGGCCACCGCTCCGACAGCCATCTGGACAGCGGCTTCGGCCGCTTGGGCTGCCTGAGCAGCCTCAACGGAAGCCAGGGCTGCAGTTTGGGCTGCCCCATGGGCCAAGGCGGCGGCCAAGGCTGCCGGACTCGGATTTGTGCCTGCTGCATTCGGCGTGCCGGTAGCTGTCGCATTTTCTGTTGCCCCCGCACTGGGTCTAGCATTTCCTCTGTTCAAGGCAGAGGCATAGTTAGCCCCTGCATTTGCAATTATCTGTGCAGCTGTACCCAAAGTGCTCCTTGTGGCCTCATCGATGGTCCTTGGTAGGCCCGGGGGCCGTGCGCCTGGTGCACGCTGGTCAATATTATTGGTGGTGGCCTGCTGCATGACCTCGAGGGGCGTAAAATGCGGTGTGAATATATTGTTGGAGCGTATGTAGCCGCTCTGCTCCACGAGAATGGGCCGACAGGTGAGCACGCGTGGACCGGGCTCCGAGAGGTCCAGCATCAGGTCGGATATGGCGTGCTGAGCGTGCGATAAGTAGTGGAAGGCCTCCGAGACACGGTCAAAGATGCGCTGGGCATTCTCCCGTCCGGTAGTGTCCTGCGGGCGGAAGAGAAAGAGCTTAAGTAGGAGGTGAACTGTAGCTATGGGTTCCCTTTTGGGACTTACATTCTCCTCAAATGTGGGATCGTTCTCGAGTATGTCGTAGTAACGATCAATGAAGGGCGTCAGACGCGTCTGAACACCACGATAACGCTGTATGACATGGCCCAGAACCTGCGGGCGAGTACGACGACGAGTAGCGCCACTTGGACCTCCATTGGATGCAGCGCCTTCGCCGCCAGCTGCAGCATCGCTCGCACCTTCTACAGTGCTGGCACCGGAAGCAGCAGCAGCACCAGCCGGTTGGCCGCCTACAGCTCCCTCGGCATCCCCGTCTGGTGTGGGGGTGGCGGATCGGTCCGAGCCCCCATCCGCAGCTTCTTCATCCTCCGAATCAATAACATCTTCAATGATGACGGTGGCGGCTGTGGTCTCGCCATTGGTGTCGGCAGCTGCTCCAGCGGCACCCTCGAGAGCGGCCTCTCCGGCACGCGGCTCAATCGTCTCGCCGCTCTCGTTGGTGTACACCGTGGGCAGCTGGAGGACAGTGTAGTTGCGTGCGCCCGTGCGGGTAAGGGCGGCTGTCACAGCGTCCTGGACCATGTCGATGATGTTGTTGTTACGTGGCATATCAGTCGAGGAGACGCCCACCTCCACCACTGTCGACTCCATGGACCAGCGACCGCGCTGCAGAATGTCCAGCGATTGGTTGTTCAGCCCCACCGAAGGGTTCTCCAGATAGGCGGCGATGTTGTTGGCGCAGTCAATCATGTGCAGGGCCACAGTGATGCGATTGATGCAGAAGGACGAAGAGTTTGGGAAGCGACCGGGTGGAGTGCGTGTCTGCAGATTAACAAAACATCAAATGAGTAAGGAGCTTCAAAAGAGAGAACCTCTCCTCTTACCCCAGCCCCGGGACCGTTTGGCACTGGTATGGACATGGTGCCCACTAGCATGCCATCGAGGGCGCGGAAGTAGGGCGAAGTGCGCATGCTGCCTGGCGGTGGACGTGCCACCGAGCGTACGGGACGCATGGGCTCATCGTTGTGCCGAGCATTGGCGCCACGCTGCGAGAAGGGCGGACGCTCGGCGACGTGCAATACCTTGCCAGCGACATCTGCAAAGGAATAGGCCAGCAAATTAGCAAAAGTACGCGGATGTGGCTGCGGGACAAATGACTCACCGTATTCCTTGACTTGCTTATCGTCGGCCAGCACACGCCCCTGGTAAATGATGCGCTGATTCTCTGCTGCAATGCTGGTCTTCTCAGCTATTTGGTCCTTCAACTGGCGAATCGTGATCTACGGGAGAGAGAGTGGGAGAGGGACGTGCGCGGGCATAAGTGGAAGCCACTAGACTCTGGACACACAACCTCAAAAATTACCTCATTGTCGATGTTGAATTCGTGTGTGCGCGCATCCAAGGTTTTTACCTTAAGATTTATTTGCATTTTTGCTGCCGTCTGTTATCTGGACTGCCGCGAAAATCAGTGAAATTCTTTTCTTTTGCACCGCACACCGCACAAAAAATACCAAACAGAAGGTTGCAAGGGTGCTGACGGGAGGGGGAAAATCGGTTTCGGTGTCGCTGTCACCTTCTGTCTCGCTCGCCGTTTTTCGCGCTGGCAGTTTTATCGTTTTACCTTTGCTCCTCGCCACGCGTTTTCTGATATTGTTGTGTACGCACGCAAAGTTTACCGAGCTGTGAAAAGTGTATGACGAAATATTTGATACAATTTGGGGCTCAAAATGGTTTAGTTGTTGTTACTATTAGCGGCAGAGAATATAGTGTTTAATATTGATATAACAATATATCGATATATATTTTTTTGTTGATAATATATTTGTAGGTGATATATTTATTTGGACTGACGAAAATATTAATATAATCTGGATATTCCTGTGAGATATGATGTGTTATCAAAGACACAGTGCAAATTGACACCATTTTTTAGATGTTTCATGTTATAAGACACGACTTTTACTTTAAACTGAAGTATCGATAGAAAACATCGAGTACACTCTTGACATATGCGATGATGTCACGCTGTTCTATTTCAATCGGTCTGGCAGGGCTGCTGTCAGTGCTGGGCAGTGGGCCACCTTTCATAGGCGCTTCGCTTAAACTAAATCTCAATGTGTTCTAGACTTTACCACCTTGAATTAGCTAAAATAACCTGGTTCCCAAGGGAGTTCCTTTGATTTCTCCCCCAAAACTAGCACATTCGTACAAGTTAACTGCGACTGAATAACATAAAAATGTAGAAGGTACGGCCCACACATACACACATGTGTAATCCGCCCCGTCACCCGTCGCATCCCCACCATACCTACACCCTTCAGATCTAGCTGCCTTTGACTGCATCCTGTGGGAATTTTTCGGCACTGCACACGGAAGCGGCGTTTGAATAATAAAGAAAAGGAAAACGGGGGAAAGTCAGCAAAGACGCAAAGGTGTGGTGGAACTTTTCGCTTTGAATATTTAAGTGGCGCTGCGGCAGCAGCCGTAGGATGGGGTAAAGCAAGCCGCAGCTAACACAATTTTCCGTACCGCAGCCCACGTTGCAAGAAATGTGCGGAAATTTGATTTAATGTCTGCGATTGTGAGCCTTTCCACGGGTTCAAAATGATTGGGCCGAGCCAAGGCCTTGTTCTTGAGGGGAAAAGCTGCCACGGAAATGGGCTCTGTGCTGGCAGATTGTTGAGTAGCGACCCTGGGAAAGATGCTTTTTAAACGGCAGGAAGGCCGATGCACATTTTCTTATCCAGGCACAATTGAAATATTTGTTGGTTAGCAGCATTAGCATTGGTGTGTGTTTGTGTGGCTGCACGCCGCTTGCCTGAATTATCAAAAAATCAAACAACATGGCTTTGTGATTTTAATTTAACAATGTAATTGCATTAGTGACAAGCGTGCAAGTAGGCCGCCATATTGCTTAAGCCTCGCTCCATTCCGTCTGTCAGACTCACCTGGCAAAATCTTAATCCCCAAAAAATACACCACACAGCCTAAAACACAAGAAACGCTTAATTGTACAAGTTTTCCTAGTTTTTTATCACTATATTTCTCAGATATCTGGAGAGTTTTTGTTGGTTATATGTATATATAAGCACGAAAATGAATTTTACACACCGTTCTAAAACAAAACTCCCTGACTGCTAAAATGAAAATGACAATGAGCTTTCTTCTAGGTACAGTGATTGCATTTACGAATGTGTGTGTAATCAGTATTGATAAACGTCGGAATTGCCTGGAGAGTGTTAAATAGCGCAATTGTGTGAGTTTGCTTTGATTTAATTAGATAATTATATAGAAATATCTATTTACGATAAAGTGTTGTGTGTCTAATGAGGAAAGAATCTGTACACCAATCCGCGGCACTACGCATTACGGCAATATTATAATTGTGAGTATTTTGTATTATAATTTTAAGTGGGATATGGGTTAAGTTAAGCCCTGTGTAAATGGGGTAGCAGCAGACTGGCTGCAAAAATGTATTATGTTTGATTTTTATTTTCCTTTTCCATCAAAAAATTTACCAGAAATTGCAGGTCGCAAAAAGCCTTTAGTGATGGACAAATCAACAGATTTTTGTTTAATCTACAGATTACCATAGTAATTAGCAATTACATACATACATACAAAAATATCCATATAAATGATTGATGTGCCATGCATTACATTTCTTTTGAAATGGGAGAGCTCGCATAACTAGGGGCGAAATATATAATAATTATTACAATTTATACTCAGCCAGGGCCAAGTGCAAGTTTCACAATTTACAAATTGCTTTTAAATGGGCTGTAAAAAAGTTTTAATGAGTTTTCCCACCCACCACTCCAGTCCAGTCCGACTTCTAAGCACCGCATCCCTCTTCTGCACCCATTCCCCCTGCCACCTCCTCATCCTGTCGGCTATTGCTGTTTATGCATTTTCATTATCATTTTCTTTCCTTTTTTTGTATTTTGTTGTTCGCGGGTACTTCCCTCTCGTTTTCCATTTTCCATTTCCATTTGTTATTTAGCAAGTATTTTTCGTTATTTTTCATTTCAGTAAAGTTTGTCCTGTGCCAGTGGCACAGGCACAGGGCCATGGGCGTGACACTTGCTGTGCCATTGAATGGAAAGCGCTTGGACTGGGGCCGCTTAATGAAATTATATCAATCGGGTGGGGATCAGCTAGGACAGCCACCCCCAAAGAGCCAGTTCCTACCCACGTCTGGCAGCTGGCAAATGACATTTGCTTTCTCCAATTGTTCATATTTTCATTAAGCGAAATTTGAATTTCCCCCAAATGTGTAGCTTGCATTCAAAGCCTTAACTTCGCAATCAGATTGAGCTTCAGCTCCAGTCACAGCCATAGCCACCAGCTCCAGTCCTTCCTACTATTCCCATCCCCGGCACTGGTTATATGTTGCCATTTCTAATTTCGTTCTGGTCAAGAACAAGCTCCGTGGGCAGGTCTCACGTCAAATTAAATCAAGCTGTAATATAAAGAAAATTGAAGCCAAGTCCCCTTTGTGCCATAAAGCACGGCGATGAAGCAGAACGAACCCTTGAGGCGGCAGGGGAACCCTCAACGTCGAGACGAGATGAGGCAGAAATCTCTATGTGGCGAGATGGACAGCATGATGGAGGCAGCAGCTGATTGGCAATATAACACCAGCCAAGGAAGCTCCGGATCCAGTCCATAGAGGCCCTTAACCCATATGGAGTGCCAGCAATAAGTGTGGGCTGAACGATGGCTTAAATTCTATTCTGTTTTTATATGAAAAAAAAATGAAGTGAAATCTTCACTGAGAATTATGATTTAAGTCTATTTTTAGTAACCGAAACGAAAGCTCTTTTAAACTGAATGAATTTCGATAGTTGGCTTAGGTAGTATTGGCCCGAATCCCACACGGACATACGTGTGTGCAGTAGTGAGTGTAAAAATGTTTCGGCGGTTCCTGTAATTACCAGTAAATAATTTCCACTTGCCAAATGGCACTTTCCAACTGGCATTGGCCTCATAAATACCACCGCGAACTAACCGAACCGAACCCAACCGAACCAATTTATGGTCCACACTTAATCTAAGCTGTCAATGTGGATGCAACAGAGCAACCGGAACAGGCGAACAACATTCAGAGGGGAGTGGAAGTGTCGGATGGGAAACACTACTCGCATCGTAATTGCCGTTGTTGTAACGACAAAAACGTAAAAGTGTTACGTTTGGAATTGACCAAAGTGAAGAAGAAGTCGTAAACTTTTAGTTGCATTCTGCCCTGTGCCTTGTGCCGTCTTCGCCTTTGCCTTGGCATCGGACTCTTAATTTATGTTTCAGTTCCAATTAGCCAAACGAGGCGCGGGCTTTAATGCTCCTTTCAGCCAGTGGTAATTGACTTTCGGCCTGGCCCTGACGCGTCATTTGTAATTGTATATCAGCAGCAGCAGCAGAAGGAAGCAGGCAGCGCAGGCCAAGCAACGTTTATTAGCCATGGCCAAATGCAGCTAATTGAAGTTCAAATTGCGCTGCTTCCAAGAGTTGCAACGGAAAAAGGAAACCGTTCAAATGTAGGCACTCCCACACCCACTCTCCCTAGTACTCGCCACTCGCACTCACGTGTGATTCCTGCCAGTTCAATAAACATTAAGGCAGACGACAATACAATGCAGACGTAGACGTAAACGAAGACGAATCCACTTAAGGCCACGTAAGAAGTCGAAAAAGAAAGTCAAAAAAACCCAGCCTGAAATCTAAAGTGAACATATCGACTATAAAATACTCCCCAATCGGGCTATATTCAAACTTTATTCGCTTAATGTGAAAAATGGTGTACCAGAAGAAGATTTTTACTCGAATAAAATAATCCAGCGTTATCCTGTGCATTTCCCTGGCAACATAACTTATTTCTCTTGGTCATTTGAACCAATACAACACAGCTTCAGAGTGCCGAAGCAGAATAAAGCGAAAGGCAATTCAAACACTCAGCCAGCGAGGGCAAAGCACAGGAAATAAAATCAAGCATAAATGCAATAATACAATTTATGTGCCAAATTTCATAAGGACCATAATGGACACAGCACACACAGAGCACACTCTCCCCCAGCACATAGTGGAAAGGAGCCACAAACAAAGGTGACTCTGAAGTCAGACTCGGACTCAGACTCGACGACGGAATCGGAATCGATGTAATCGTAATCGCATTTGATGCCGAGATGTTGATGCTATTTGTGTGTCATTTTCATTGCGAAAAACTTTTCCGGCTTTTCCGGCTGGCAACAATGTCGACCCAAACAAGCGGCCTTCCATCCATCTCTCACCCTCTCCTATTCCCCGTGTCTTTTGTCGCTTTTTGACCAAGCTAACAACATTTTCTTGACATTTGCCAATTGCATTATGACTCAATTGGGGGCCTGAACGAACGAAGAAGCCATCGATGTGGCAAACTCAACTTCAACGCGAGAGCTGGGGATGGAAATGAAGGGAACAGCAGCAGAAGTTGAAACAAGAATCAGACTTCTTAGAGGAGGATAAATGCTTCCATTCAGCAGCTCTGAAAACCCCACAGATGTTACTTAATTCTGGTACATTGTTGTTCTGTTTGTTTATCGGCATACGTAGCTCCAATTGAAAGGCTTGGAGAGCACACGAAACGGAAAATGCATTAACAATTTGGCTGCGTCGTTAATGCATCTCCAATGGGCCATAAATTGTGTGCTGGCCCGTTGTATGTTTGGGCAATGCCTTGCACTTGATGGCCCTTCAGCGGTGAGCTGCCTGCCATCTTCATCATCATCTCCATCGCCAACGCCATCGGAGTGGCCATCCGTGGAATGTGGAGCAAGTGCGCCGACCTTAGGACAGCCAGCTGCTGGCTAGCTAGCCTGGCCCGGGCATTATTATGCAATGCCTAGGCAAAGACGTGAATTTTGGTAATTGGGTCGACGACACGCCCTTCTACAGCACATGCCACACACTTGCTTCGAGCCTCCATGGCTGTTGCTGCGGCTGTCAATGCTGAATTGATTTGCCACGATCAAGAGATCGAGAAATGGATTTCTGAAAGTCACGCAATGCCCAATTGCAAACGGGTTTAGGCCGTGCGGCAGTGCGGGCGGGACAATTATGAGTAATTGGCATTGCGGTGGGTCGGCCAGCCACTGCCTGCCTCCTATATATGCCCCAGCGGCGGACACAGAAGGCAACAGTTGCTACAGATATCCCACAGCTTCAACATGACCCAACAGTGCCTCAGCCTTGCCTCAGCCGCCTCCCTGCTGCTTCTCCTGGCCCCCGCCTGGGCAGGCATCATTGCCCAGCCATCCATCGGCTACTACGGTGACGAGCACGCCGTCGCCCACACCCAGCAGAATGTGGTGCGCAGCTTCGATGGCACCGTCTCGCACTACGCCAAGTCCGTGGCCACGCCGTACTCCCAGGTGCACAAGCAGGACACAAGGATCAGCAACAATGTTTACCAGCCGGCGATTGCCAAGACTGTGACCTACCAGGCCGCTCCCGCTGCAGCTGCAGTCTACAACCACCACGCTCATCCGGAGACGCAGCTGTTCACCCAGGCGGCTCCTCAGGCCGCCGTCTACCATCAGGCTGTCCAGGCAACACCTGTGGCCAATGTCTACCATCAGGAAGCTCCTCAGTCGGCCGTCTACCATCAGGCTGCTCCTCAAGCATCCATCTACCATCAGGCTGCTCCTCAAGCTTCTGTTTACCACCAAGCTGCTCCTCAGGCTTCTGTTTACCATCAGGCTGCTCCCGTGGTCAGTCATCAGCCCGCCGTCATCCAGTACTCGCCGGCAGAGTCCGTTTCCCACATGAGCTTCGATGGCTTCGGCACCCATTGGGGATTCTAAGGGATTCATTTCCCATCGCTAATTTGTTATTTTAATTTTAATAATTAAATCATTTGTAGAAAGAAATTCACCGAAGAGAGTATCATTGATGATTAATGAATTTATATGCAGGAATGTAATTAAAATCCACAGCTACTGGAACCCTTTAACTCGGAGTTCTACTCCCATTCCTACTTTTCTACTTTCTACTTTTCATCCTAAGAGGCAGATTTCCAGCTTTGATTTCAATGGTGAAATTGAAATGGTTATCTCGAAAGTATCTCGTCCCGGAGCTACATATGAATATAGACTGACTGTAGACTGTGGACTGATGTGGCATGGAGTAATTTACCTTTCAAAAGTGCTTTCAAAAGAGAAAGAGAAATGCATCTAATAGATCGCAATGCTGATATGTTTTTGTCTTGATGGCTCAGCGACATATCTAAGATGTAAATGTTGGAATCTTTTCACATCCCGGTCGCTGGTCCCCTGCCTCAGAAGTCCTTTGCTTGGCTGAGGACTGCAGCGAGTTGGTTTCCGGATGCTCCTGCCTGCGGCCCCAGCTCCGTGCTTATCAGCCACGTTCAGGGGGCTGCGTAAACAAATCATAAAAAAATCCACACAAAGTGCACTACAAATAGCCCCAAGTAGGACATTAGCTTGGGTCCTGGCTCGGTCCGTGCCGGGTGGGGCAGCCTGTGGTAGGGATGGGGGCACGTGATTTGTGCAGCGCAAACTTAAAAATCGGACATGAAAGCTACGTGACTCGCATGGCCAAGGACCCATCCGAGGGAGCAGGCTGCAGGCAGCAGGAATCAGGATGCTGCCATCGACTGACACAGCTTATGAACTAATAAGATTTCCGCCCCCTGCCCCTCGTAAATTAAGCACCTGGACAACTGGTTTCGAGTGGCGTAATCTGGAAATTGAAATCACATTTTTGCAGCCTCATTAATTTTGCAAAGAGTGAACCAAGAGCAGAACCAGAGACCATCAGCCATCGCCAAGAGAGTCAATAGTCAATTTGTGTTCAAAGTTCTTCCCACATAGTTTTTTTGCATGCATAAATGATGGCTTCATTAGCTGGCCATCAAAGTAATGGCCAAAATGATTACCAGAATGGGTTTGTTCTCTCCCCTTGCGGCAGAAAATTGCGAAAAAAAGAACTGCTAGAAATGAAGCCATAAACTCCGCTTAAATGCAATGGTCCGGGGATCCCCAGCAGCATCCGAAGCCTGCACTTTTGTCCGCCACTTGAGTGCTAAAAGGCGCAATGATAAAATATTTGCCTGGCCCCGGCGCGGGCCAAGGCAAGTAAATTGTTGGCTCAAAAGTTGAAACAGCCAACAAAAAAGCCCCAGAGAGAGAGAGAGAGAGAGCGCGAAACCAGAGATGAAGAAAGGCCGTGCTGTCAGTTGCTGTTTTTGTTTAGTTGTTGCGGCTAAAGTTTCTCCCTTTTCCTTGTCCTTGTCCGGATCCTCAGGGCCGTACCCCATGGCCATTGCAGGACGTCAGCCAAAAGGAAAGTCGGCAAAATAAAAAATGCAAAAAATGCCCAGTAAGACGTATTTATCAACATAATTACATTTTTTAATGGCTTTTTAAACCGCAAAATGGCAAAGCCGTAAACCGGAGATAGCACAGGAGCACAAAAATGTTTCTTACTCGGCAGTAGTGGAAACTCCTGCAACCTTCCGTTGCCGCTGCCGTAGACTCCAGAAAATGTTAACTCAATTAGTAAATGCTACGTTGAAAGATGATACTGTGATGATGTTGATAGATTGACTTAAGTAGAGGCTTTCGAGGATCTTTTTACAGATATTCCCATGGGCGGGCTGTGCGGATGTGGAAGGTCAGTGGGCCAGCCAGACCATCCAGACCAGCTTTGCATTGGCATACACACGATGTTGATTCAACTAGAGTTGATCTCGCATTCCCTGGAAAACTGACGCCCTCATTCCGAAGTGGATATATGTTTGGGAGCTTGAGTCTCCACGCAGTCACTTTCGATGCCCTTCTGGCATGTCTGGCCACTGCAATGATAAAGTAGAGATGTTCACTGATCAGCTATCCAAAGCATTGTTTCTTAAATGCTTCAGAATAAGGAATACAAAATAAATAAGAAACCAACAAAAGCTGTATTTAAATTTCCGTAAAATTCCATTGACTTCAATCACTCTCATAAAGAGAGCCATTTAATTGATATTTGGAGAATTCCTCTTAGAAAGATTGACTATATCTCTCCGGGAATGCCTCTATATTGGACAAAATCCAATAATTTTCTCTCTCCGTTCATCGTTCATTAACAGCTCGAAAACGTGACTCATAAAAGCAACATTGAATGAATATGAATAATGAATGAAAATTTATTTATTTCAAATTACATCAGAATAAGGTATCAGCTCACAGTGGGAGCTCTTATCTCAAGCCACTTCTCAGTGCGCAATCTCTAACAAGTATCCGTTGGGGTATTCGAATGAATTCACTTTGATTGGCCAACAGGAACTCTCGTTTGCTCTTCAGAAATATACGGAATTCTGCCCACTGATGTTTCTGATATTTCCATTTGAGTGTCGAGGGTAACTACAGCCTCGACCCTGTTGCTCATGGCATCGGTAAACGATGCTATATATAGCACCGATGATCGAGGGCAGAGCCAGTGCCGCGGCGTTTAGCTCTCTGAAAACATGCGGAGAGCTCTGTGTGCGATAATCTTGTTCGTGGCGGCGAGTGTCGCTTCCTCTGCGCTGTCAGCACTTGATCTGAACGGCTACTACAGCTACGATGGGGTGATGAATTACTTGGATTTGCTCGCGATGGAATACCCACAGCGGGTACTTGTTAAGGATGCAGGTCGGACCTTTGAGAACCGCATATTGAAGACGATAACCATAACGAACGGCGATTGGGTGCCCGGAAAGAGGGCGATCTTTATGGATGCGGCCCTGCACGCCCGAGAGTGGATGACACCCATGGCCGCTCTCTATGCCATCCACGAACTGGTCGTAAATTTCAAGGAGAACGCCGATCTGCTGCAAAACTTTAACTGGATCGTACTGCCGCTGGCCAATCCGGATGGCTATGTGTTCTCCCGCAACTCAGATAGGTGGTGGCGCAACAACCGCTCACCGAACGGGGGAGAGTGCTTCGGTACGAATCTGAACCGCAACTTCGATGTGGCCTGGAGGCAGGGATATGCAGAGCTGTCGGATCCCTGCACCGAATCCTATGCCGGCAGCGAACCTTTCTCGGAGGCGGAAACCCGCCTAGTGCGGGACATAATGCATCAGCTGGTAGACAATGGGAGTGGCACAATGTACCTGTCCCTGCACACGGCCAACCGATCGCTATTCTACCCGTGGGTGCACGAGTCGTCCCCCACAAGGAACCATCAGGAATTGCAGGAGATTGCCCTCTTCGCCACGGACAGGATACTAAGGGAAACGCAAACGGTGATCAAGCCAAAGCAGGCCTATTACTACGGCGGAATGGTGGGCGGTATAAGCCTGGACTACGCTTTTAAGGTCGGCTTTCCATTGTCCTTTGTGTTTGAGATGTCCGGTCTGGCCTCCGGCGTAGAGTACAAATTCTTCCCACCGCACACAGAAATCAGAAGGCTGGCGATGGAGTCCTGGGTGGGGATACGAGCGTTGGCAGAGAAGGCCATTGAGAAGTATCCGCCCGGCAGAGCCATACCACGGATTCCAAGAACGCCAGCCAGTAATAAGGCGCCAGGCAGTCCGAACTTCAACATCCTCGTTGGTTTGCTCAGCACACTGTTGGCATACGTAGCCAACCAATTAATTAGTTGAATAATTTAACAATTTCTCTATAATTTAAAGCAAAGGCTGGTGTAGTTTTGCACAGCTTTGAAACAGGTTTAAAATGATTCGTTGAATGCATAACGCAGGCATTGCATGTTGAAAACTGAAAGCTGAATTTACAAACAAAGTCATTTGACTGTGAAACATACGCTATATTTACAAGTAAATCTTGATTATATATATACAAAAGTTTGTTCTTTTTATTAGGACTGTGAAATTCACACAACTTTAAGTTTGAAATTCCCCACAGAAATCGGTACACATTTCTGGTTGCACCCAGGCAATGCACTCTCTTGGAGATTCTCATTGAAATATTTTTAATATGCAGCCATGTGCTGGCTCACGCTCTTCGTCTCTCACTGCCCTTACCCGACCACACGATTTCCGCAATACGCATACGCCGCGTTGTCTGCATCGTCGGCTTATTTGCCTACTCCCCCCGCCGCACGACTATCAACGTGACTTGGCTGCTTTGACTGGGGGATATGTGCGTACATATCATTCGCATTGTCCGATACATTTCACATGCTGCAATTAATGCAACAAATTGGATTTTTAATATGCAAAATTAATGCAGAAAATCTTTCTGTACGAGGCAGCAGAGCACCAGAAACCGAAAGGAATGCGAAACGAGAGATATCCGAGGATTTTATTTATAAAAGTCATTGCGAAAATTGAAAAAAATGCACATTCTGTCTACAAATAAAAACACTTTTCGAACGCCAACGCGACGCTCCTTGCCAGCTCTCCATTTCCACTCTTTCCAACCCGTAGATGCAGATACCGTGGCAGTACGAGTATTTTAAAAATAATGAAATGCCATTACAAAGTCAAAGTCAGGCCTCGCCCAGGAAGCTGCTGTTAATTAGTTTTTTTCGAAGGCTGCAACTCCGGCAGCTGACCGTCCATCCATCCAATCGTACACCCATCCATCCATTTGTACCCACCGACCTGCCCTCCCTTGTGGGGGTCAGGTCAGGGCAAATGTTTTAATTTCCGCACGAGTGTCTCTAACGGAAATTACTACAAAAAAAAAAAAAAATTCACGACTCCTGGACAAACGCCCCACAAAACCCACGGTGCCAATGAGCCTCGGGGGAGCGGACGCCTCGTTATCTCGCCACTGAATCCAAAAGAATTAATATAAGTAATCGTATTTACCTACACTCGCCTTAGATACTCGAATTAGTCCGGTTTGATTAGCACAAGTGCAGGGCGGCTCAATAATCGGCATGCTCTTTTTTTTACATGCGAATTTAGAATCGTTCTCCGATTAGATAGATGTGGGAAGCCGATCAACGATTCTGCTGTACGAATCAGAGTGCAAAATGCTGCTGTTGGTGCTGGTTCTGCTGCTGGTGGCCGCTGGCTGGCTCATCCATCGCGGCCAGGCGGAGCGTCGCCGAGCCGTGGCCAATCTACCGGGACCCATATGTCCTCCGTTGCTGGGAGCCCTGCACATCATGTTCGGCATGAATCCAAAGAGTATGTATTGTATGTCCAGTGTAAAAAACCGTTAAAACTGAATCAAAAATTTAATTGAATCGGATGACAATTTGGGACACAAATCGTGACCGGAACGAATATCGAATAAAATTTAATTGCACCATTAAAGGATAAATAATCAGTTTACGGCTCTTGCAGAGGGTAGATAGCTGATTGAGGTTCACTCTATTCCATCCATATTTCCCGGTTTTTCCGCTGACCTTTGTATCATTTGATGCACGCGAACGCTAACAGTAATTAAGTACGCTAACCAGAGAAGATTTGCATTTGATAGTTATAAATACATAAATAAATTACTTGAAAGAGAGAGAGAGAGAGAAATTCTGATCACTGACCACTGACTAGCGATGCTTTGCGGCAAAGTGTGTATTGCATTCAATTGTTTTGTGCTCTCGCTCATTCTGAAGCGATAAGAGCAGAGATTTATTTCTCAGTAACTGTAAACATGATGCCGTACTAGTGTAAGTCTCATCTTTCTTTGTTCTTTATTCTTTCTCTTTTTTTTTTTAAGATTTATTGATTTTTTGTTAGATTTGAATAAGAGAGCAAGAATGAGAGAATTCAAGAAATGAAGTGTATAAAAATACACACGATATAAGCACAATGCTCTGAATAAAATAAATTACTTCTCGATGCTGTCAGACATAAATCAATCCACAGTATTCAGAGCGATCTTCTGTATAAATATTTTGTTTCCTTTCCCCCCACTACTTTAAGTGGAACATTTTAAACGTACTGGCACCACCTACCCTTAGCCTGTGTAGCAAGTGGATTATCCCAGTATCAATGCACCTAAGCCCATAAAGATGAAACAAATATAAACCAACTGCCATGATAAAGACAACATTTAATCTTGGGTTAATATTGGTTTTATTTTCAATCCAGATTAGCACCTTAAACACTTGAGCCAACTACCTTATCAGCCTAACTTAACTACCACACCCAGATGAGGTGCTGGAGAACCGTGAAGCACATATGCATATCTGTTAATAAACTGTTATTTATGAGCTACAGTTATATCTGGATTAAAGGTTCTTATCTCTGTGTTATTGCCACTCTTCTGCAGCCTTCCTCAATGTGTGCCGTGCGAATATTGACAAATATGGAAATCTGCAGCGGGTGTGGGTTCTGAACCGTCTGCTGATCATTAGCGCCGACGCCGAGTTCAACGAGCAGCTGCTGGGCAGCCAGGAGCATCTGGTGAAGCATCCCGTGTACCGAGTCCTGGGCCAGTGGCTGGGCAATGGGCTGCTGCTGAGCGACGGCAAGGTGTGGCATCAGCGCCGCAAGATCATCACGCCTACCTTTCACTTCTCGATCCTGGAGCAGTTTGTGGAGGTCTTTGACCAGCAGTCGAACATCTGTGTGGAGCGCCTGTCCCCTCGGGCCAACGGACGGACCTTCGACGTTTATCGGCCCATCTGCATGGCAGCCCTGGACATCATTGCGGAGACGGCCATGGGCACGAAAATCCACGCCCAGGCCGCGGACAGCACTCCCTACGCGGAGGCAGTCAACGAGTTAGACTCCCATCCATCCTCAAAGAGACCCCTTCTCCTACTCATTCTTTCCCGATTGCAGGTGCACTGCTCTGCTGAGCTGGCGCTTCATGTCCATCTACCTGCAGGTGGAGCTGCTCTTCACGCTGACCCACCCGCACCTGAAGTGGCGTCAGACGCAGCTCATCCGCACCATGCACAACTTCACCACGAAGGTGATCGAGGAGCGTCGTCGGACACTCGAGGAGCAGCAGCGGGCCAAGATAAGTCAGTCCGCCGACGACGATGTGGGCAGAAAGCGACGGATGGCCCTGCTCGATGTCCTGCTGCTGGCCAGTGTCGATGGGCGGCCGCTGACCAATGACGAGATCCGCGAGGAGGTGGACACCTTCATGTTCGAGGGTCACGACACCACCTCCAGCGCCCTGTCCTTCTGCCTGCACTTGCTGTCGCGCCATCCGCAGGTGCAGGAGAAGATGCTGGAGGAGATCCTCCGCATCATTGGCACCGATCGCAGTCGGCCCGTCACCATCCGCGATCTCAACGAGCTGAAGTACTTGGAGTGTGTCATCAGGGAGTCGCTGAGGCTGTATCCGCCCGTGCCACTTGTGGGACGCAAGCTGCAATCGGACTTCAAGTACAGTAGGTGTCAAAGGCAACGCTGCTTTCTCCATCCGTACTGATGAGACCCCTCTCTTTTTGCAGCCCACTCCAAGTACGGCAGTGGCGTCATTCCGGCCGGGTCTGAGGTTCTTATTGGGATCTATGGCATCCAGCGGCTGCAGAGCGCATTTCCCCAACCCGAACAGTTCATTCCGGAACGCCACGAGAACGGCGAGCGCTTTGCGCCCTTCACCTTTGTCCCCTTCAGCGCCGGGCCACGGAACTGCATTGGCCAGAAGTTTGCCCAGCTGGAGATGAAGATGATGCTGGCGAAGATTGTGCGCGAGTACGAGCTGCTGCCCCTGGGCGAAGCAGTCGAGTGTGTCATCAACATTGTTCTGCGCTCGGACACGGGCTTCCAGCTGGGAATGCGCAGGCGCAACGATACACGATGAGTGACTAGACGGCAGTGGCAGATTTTTAATAGGTAAAATAGTTATTTTATTCCAAAATATATTCATATACATAATGTTATTACTAAGTATGTCCATCCTTCTATTGAAATCGCGGCGTCAGAGCCAATTGAAAGCCGTTGGAGGAGCCCAGAGCGAGCCGCAAGTCAAGGCGTGGGGCATCGCCATAGGGCAGTAGCTCAAAGCTGCTTAGGATGGGCGCCAGTAGGGTCTTGAGCAGCACCATGCTGAACTGACGTGCCGGACAGCACCGTGGCCCCATGCTGAAACTGAGCAGCTCTGGCGGCGACTCCAGAAATCTCTCCGCCCGAAAGTGGCCCGCATTCAAGTAGAGGTCCTCGTTGCGCTGCATCTCAAAGAGATTCACATAGATCTCGGCGCCAAGGGGCAGAGTGCCATCCCCCACACCGCTGTGGGCTGTCGCGGATCGAAAGTAGGACAGATCAAAGCTATTATATCATCAGTCCTGCGAGTACTCACTGTAGGGCATATCCTCGCTCAAATGCCGGCCGACAATCACTTGGGGTGGGTAGAGACGCAGCGTCTCGAGCAGCACGGCCTCCAGGTAGGTCAGCCGCTGCACGTCCCAGCTGTGGTCTGCTCTCTGGGCCCTCCGCAGCTCCTCCAGGCAGCGCTGCTGAACAGCCGGTTGCCGGGCTATCGTGACGAGGGCGAAGCAGAGGGCCGAGCTACAGAGCAGATATCCCAGATAGTTGCAGGTATTCAACTCCGCACAGATGTCGTCGTCCGTGATGCAGGCCCTAAGGTTGGGGGCCAGCAGAACCTCCAGCAGTGATTGATGCAGCGGCAGTGGCTCGATGCGATCCACCACCAGGCTGCCCGCCCTCAGTTGCTCCTCCAGCTTCTGCTGTGTGCGGAACCGATCGATGTGCTCTTTGTGCTCCTTATTCAGGCGCTTGATAAGTTTCAGCTGCCGGCGCCGCATAAAGGGAGAGCTGATCCAGAAGCTAAAGCGGTTCACCGAGCTTAAGCTCAGGAATCGTTTTCGGTAGATCTCCGTGAGGCTGAGGGCAGGATAAGATGTTCTCAGAGGAACCTATCGTGGAATGGGACATGCGGCACGGCACTCACCCCGTGAATGCCTTGGCATACTCCTCGCTGGGGCGCAAGCCGCAGGTGGTGAGCACCATCAGATCCCGCACAGCGGGTGCCACAAACTCCCAAGCATTGAACACCTCCCGTTGCTCTGCCCGATCCGCCAGTTTCAGTTGCAGCAGCACCGCCTGCTGGCGACACAGCTCCGTTAGAGGCAGCATGTTGCCGTTTTCGAAGATGCCCCTTATGAGGCTGTGACGCTGGGCCCACTGATGCTTCCCGCACATGAGAACGCCACCGCCCAGCCAGTGATGCATCAGCTCGTAGCCCGTCTCCAGGTGTTGCTCGCTCTGCAGGACTTGCCTGGCCAGCTCGAGGTCCGCCAGCGGCATGAAGAGTCGATGGAATACCCACAGGCGCGTCACAGCGCCGTACTTGACCAGATACTCTTGGCTACGCCGGAAGAAATCTAACAGGCACTTGATCAGAACAGAACCTTCATGCAGAACAACCTCTCCACTTACTCTGCGGCTTGAGGAACAGCAGCTTGTGCATCGCCCCCAGCAGGGGCCAGGTGAAGGGTCCACCGAGATTCCTGATGTGCAACCGCTGTCGGCGTGTCCTGAAATAGTTGACGGCCGAGGCCAGGCAGAAGCACAGGAATGTAGTTGTCAAGATCATGGTTGCAACTGAGCCACGGGGCCGGAGCCGGAGACGCTCTTCTCTATGCTAATCGCAGCCTTTATGGCCGTACGATTGGTATCACTAATCTCTCAAGTGCCTCCAACTTTTGGGAGTTCTTATCGGTTCCAAAGACCCCCCAAGACGGCCAAGCGGTGCACTTTGAGCAATTCGATCCAGATAGGGATGGAAACTTGATTAAATCGTTTGACAGTTTATGGAGTAAAATTTTCTATAGGACAAATATGTCAAGATCCAAATTTGAAGTGAGAAAAGAGTACTTATTATTTGAATTTATTTCAGAGCCAGCTGGAGGTGAAACTATAAGTATAATCTCTGCAATAGCCATTTATATTTATTTCTAAGCAATTTTAATTATTTAATAACAATTTTCTAATGCTTTCAGAATTTGTATTCTACAAGATGTTGTGTAAGTTATTAGCTACATGCGTTCCACAAAATGTTGCCAAGCATCCAAGACCCAGCAACATGTTGCTATGATGGCTCGAATAAATAGTCGAATTTTAAATGTTTTCTGGAAGCTGTGTAAATCGACACAAATTCCAGTTATAAATTAGAAATTACCCAAAAAATAGTCCAAAAATTATTGTAAAACCCTTCAGAATCCTCTTCAGAGCTAATCAAATGTTTATCTCTGCAACCAAAATATATTTATGTGTGTGTGTGTGTCGAATGCGCGCTAACAAGCCAACTTGATTGGCCAAGACGAAAATTGCCAATACCCAGCGGAGGCGGAGGTGTATCATGAGGCAGATGGGGGCGTGATGTGTGCGCCATCTGTAAGATACGAGACACAAGATACACCAAATAGATTGTGGCACGGAATTTGCAAATAAATATTTAAACACTTACCTAACAGTTGATGGGGACGGGACTCGCAACAGATTCAGAAGTATTAAACCAAACAATTTGTGGCAATTGTCTGGGGGGAAGTAGACCGCTCCGCTGCCACTTGGCCAGCGGGCATTATCCGGGCCGAAAGCAGCTGTTGTCCCGGCAAACAAATCTTTTGACTGTGGTTGTCGGGGTCACGGCGAGGGTTGGTTGGGTTGGTTGGGTTGGTCAACTCTCAACCTCAACCCTTTCAAGAGTTGAACTGTCAAAAGTACATTTGCCTCGGTTACGCCACAGAGGAAATATCCTTGAAGCATGTAATGACAATATCAGGCGGCCTTCCCATTTCAGCCCTGCGGCCCTTTGGAGATCCTGAGTTGTTTCCGAGGAGTTGGCCCCTTGAGTGCTGAATGTGTTGTGTGCTCCATTTTCATTTTGCGGCGTTGATGAAACTTTAATGACACACCGCACGCATCCAAGACTAGGGGCCATATGTCCAGCTTCAGCAACAGCAACAGCTACATCTCTCCTCTCTGTATCTCTTGTACTTTTCTGCACAATTTCCTTTTTGGGGCAGACAAAGCCAGCTAATGGCGGCTAATGAAGCCAGTTTTATTGGGGATTTTGTGGGTCGGTGAACCCAGGAAAGGAGCATTCCCAGGTTGGCCATATTCCCGGCACTTTTGAGTGTGTGTGTTGCATGTATTTATGAGGAATTCATACGTCAATGTCATGAACAACTCGAATGTAGCCCCAAACGGAGTGCAATGGCCAAAAGCCACGTGACCAGCTGCAAACAGAAAATAGCAAACACCAAAAACATCCTGGCGTGGCCTCCCTGTTCTTCCGTATGCAAATTAACAAAAAATTAGATGACTGCGCTATGACAACGACTAGGAAAACGATGACTAGAACGACGATGAGGAAGAGGACGACAGCGTTGACAATGAAAACTAAGTAAGCGAACTGCTCGTATATAGCTAAAGTCCGAATGTAATGTTGTTGCGGTTTCGAGTGTTACGCAAAAATTGGCACTGTAAAAACTGGAAAAAAACATTGGCAGCAGGATACAAATGCTTTCACAGGCCTCCAGAATATGCGACTGGCCTGGCTCCTGGCTCCTGGCTCCAGGCTGAAAGGCAGGATAGAAAGCTGGCGAAAAAATTAAAACAAAGACATAGCAACAATTTACATTCCCATTGTTTGCCTCTGTCCCAGCTACAAGTGCACAAAAAACTGCCAGATAGGTAGATCCACAGATACAATGCGACGTCACAGTGAGTTTCGTAGCGTTAGAACGGGTTATACTCATCATCGAAGGGTAAGGGTATGAATGGGTATCCAAAGATGAATTTAAACTAGGTTCTAGAATGCAATTACTTATGCAATTTAAATATGAAATATATTCAACTTAAATATAAAATATATTAAATTTTTATATATTTTTATATTTTTATCGAAAAGTAAGTAAAAAATGTTACATTTTAATACAACCACTCTTGAATGAAAATCAATGGCATAAATATTAAAATCTAAATGAAAATATTCAAATTTCAGGGCTTTTTTCTATGGCTGTATGTACAGCTGACTGATAGTTTCGAAACGCACTGCACATTCGCCTATAAATTTCAAATGCAGTTGGTCAGCCGGCAAGTTAGAGAAAGAAACGAGAACACACGCAGCAAGGACAACGATGATGATGATGATGGCCAGCAGGCTAAAAAATTGAGGCGGAAAATTCATAAAACCGCCATAGAAGGTTTGCACAAAACGACAAAAATTATGCTCTATCGGGAATAAGGAATATTTAACTTACATATGGTAAAATTGTTTGCAGAAAAAGATTTTATAGAAAGTAATTAAAAATTCTAAGCACTTGAAAGCTTACATAAGAAAGAACAATAATTTACTATTTTAACATTCCCACATACCCGTACATATGTATCCTATATGCAGGGTATTTGCTGTACCATGTAAGTCCGGAATATTTCGCGCCATTGTCGATGTCGGGCATTGTTGAACGGGTGGTGGTGGCTGCTCGCTGTTAGCTGGCACCAGGAAGCATTTTGCATGAATTGCCCATAAAAGTGATATGCACATCAAGATTGTCTGATATGAGTGTGGCGATAAGCGCGAAAATTTGCTTACTGGGCTCCCAACGACTTTCAAGCAATTGAAAATTGTGAAAAATTGTTGGAATTGTCGCTAGAAACTTTAAGGTGGTGGATAGATAGCATTCCTGAGTCTCTTGCTGGGGCACACTCTTAATCAAGACAAACTACGTTTGGCTAGACATTTAATTGGCGACTGCGACTAAAAGGATGCCATCAGTCTCAGGCACGCCCACCGCCCATTAGCCATCACCCATTATGACATTGGGTTCGGTTTGGGTGTACTATTAGGCCACACACTCGCATATTAATAGTCCCACTATCCCACATACGAGTATCTTCAGCTCCCAAGCTCCCCAGTTCCCAGATGTCATATGTCAGGCAGCTGTAATAATGCGAGCTGATGACTGCGTTATGATTACTGTCAACGGCAGGCACACGGCACGGCACGGCACTCCATGAATAAGCAGATGAGTCAGAGAGGGAGTCAAAGCCCCTCTTACTTTTATGTACATATGTATGTATATGTATATCCTTGCGGGCTTACCGCGCCACCCACCCCCCATGCCACATGTGACTTGAGGCGCCCCGCAGCGCCGCTGTGGCAACGACTTTGACTCTGCAACAATTTATCACAGCCAATTTAACCACTTAAGTGTGGAAAAGGTTTCGCCAGAGTCAAAGTGTGCACTACAGCCATATAAAGTACTCATACTCATACGCGTACGAATAAATATATGCACGTACATACCTACATATGTACATATATTCACAATTCATGTTGGGTAAAATGAATGTAAAATATTGAAATATTGAATGGAATAACTTTAGCAACAATGCAGGCCGCAAAGCGCTGAAGAGAAGGCAGTCCTGTACCCATGGCCCCAGCGGCATTTCAGGCACGAAACTGACCAAGCTACACTCGGAGAAATATTTATGCTAAATGCAACATCAGGTTATCGGATAGGGTCAAATGAATAACTCACTCATTTGCTTGACAGACTGAGTATCTGTTTACAATTTCGAGAATAATTCCGATTTTAAATCCCTTTTTTTCTCAGTGTACCCCCGCTGGCTACTCAATGTCTGCATATGTGTGCGTGTGTGGCAGCGAGAGTGTAAGTGTGGTCTGCTGGCGGCATTTATTTGTTTACAATCTGTTTGCGCAAAAGCTGCTGCAAGACTTAAAAATCTGCATTTGCATTCTGACACTACTCGTGCCTACACGGTTAAATATACATATATGTATATATGTACGTACATACTATGTGTGTAAAAGAATGGAGGAATCCACATACATATGCACATATGTATTTATGTTCAGATGTATCTACTAATTGAAAAAGAGAGTTACCACATACAAGCATCTTTCCATATTCAATGGTTTTTTCCCAACATGAAAGTGTTTGGCATCGCTTCCGATCGATATTAGATGATTTATTTTTGAGATAGATGGAAAATCATTTAACAGATTGTCAATTTAGAATTTTTTTTCAGGATTTATTTCTATATCTTTCTATATATCGTTATAATAATCTTCAGGTGATCGTCGTCCTGGTCCAACCCGTCGTTCCGCACGTTGTGTGAATTTACGTTTTTGTCAACAGGTCCTCTTGCCCTTCTTGGGCTTGCGGCAGAACTTCTTGAGCTTTTGCTTTTTGCAAGCGGACTTCTTGCGTCTGCGCTTTCCACAACTCGACTTCTTGCGCTTAGGCTTACCACAGCCGAGCTTGTGCTTCTTGCCACATTCCTCTTCGTCCAGGGAGGAATCAGAAGGATCCACTATACAAATTGTCTCGCTGGTTAAAGCATCCTGTTCTGTGCCTTGCTTAATCGCTGTTATGGAGCTTGCAGACCGATAGCCAGCCTGCAGGGTCCAAAGGGAGTTGCTGCACTCACTGGCGGATTTAGATGCACAAAGAACTCACCCTACGGTAGCGGGATCGTTGCTCTGGGGACATTGTCCGCCAACGCTGCGCCGCCACTTTCACAGCCTTCTGTCCGTGGTACATGGCTCCAAAACGGCGTTTGCATTCCCGCATGTAATTTAAATACGCTGTAGCGGAGCGCCCTTCAATCGAATCTGGAAAGGCTTCATCGCTTTCATCTGATTCACTTTCCGATAAGCTCTTTGGATTGTCGTCGTCTAATTCGATGGATGGAGCGCCGTTGCTTTGTGCGGCTCTAAACTCGCCGCCTTCCGAAGAGCCGGAGATAACTGATAATTTTAAGAGAATCTGGTTTGCCGTCTCATCGCTCAGACTTGCACATGAAATCGCCATTTTTCTTGAAAACAAAATAAAAATGTTGAAAAAGAAAAAAAAAACATCATATGTAGATGGACAACCTTAAGAAAACCCTTAGCTGAGTTGAGTTCTGGTTCTGGTACAACAAATTTGATTGAATTTAAAACTTAGAGACTGCTTAGATTGGAATAAAAAAGTATTCCTGATGTCCTTGACATTGCTTCGTTCAAACGACATTCATTCAACGACTTATATCACATGGAAATCCCCTTCTTTATTACCTGTTAATTGTTCCATTTTACGGCTTCCAGACCCATTCGCTGTTCAGTCTTCGCCATATGGGGAACAGGCTCTGAAAGGGCTTAACGGTAATACGGGCGGGACCACTTAAGTGGGGGGGGGGTTGGCATCAAATCGGCTTTCGTCACACTCTCCCTCTCCACTCGTTCTTTTGCTTTCTTTCAGACGAGCACACTTACACATGCGAGTGTGTGAATAAAAGTGCAAATTCATGTTTAGTTTGACAAAATCTGTATAAATCCAAAGAGCAAATGCCAGCAGTCAACTCCGACCAGCTCTCTCGGAAGAGAAGGATTTGCAGCAGGGAGCAGCAGCAGGAGGAATCTGAAGGTAAATGGATTCTTGGCTTCTGGGGCTGTGGGTCAAATGGAATTATCCTCTGTCAATGAGCTCCCAGGCAAGGAGAGCACGGACCAAGACACGGATAATTGTTGCTTGAAAAGGCAATTTTCACACTCATTAAAAATTTGCATAATTTGCACCAGCCTCACCCCCAACTGGAGTCGGAGCTCGGGATCCCAAAACCAGCAGCCGGAACAAAAATGAGCCTTTCATGGGACTCTAGAGTGAAGAGTCGCGGCGAATGTTGAATTATAAATGCATGGAAATTAAAAACAATTACATGAAATTATATTTAACACCTCCCCACACACAAATATGAATATTCATATTTATATGTGTGTGTACATAAGCATATATTTCAACAAATAAACTGTGCATAATGATGCTAATCCCTTAAGTCAGCCCACACAGAGTGGCCAGAGAGGGTGAGGCAGAAAAACGGGCTATCAATTTGCATTGCGCTTCGCTCATTAGCGTCCAGGCTGGTGCTTGCCATTTGTAAATTTTGCATTTCTTCGGAATAAATATACAATTTATAGTCTTGTGTACAATAGTCATACTGCGAGGGCAGATTTAGGAGACGAGAATATGCCAATCATAGCGATTTATTTAGAAATCAGTTTTTGATAACGTTAAAAAGGCAATATCGGGGATCCTGTTTTATTTTTCTTTTTCGTGGCTTTATTTTTTCGATCTACTTTTTCTTATTTACTGCCTCCACTTTCCACCGCTCACAGGGCAGAAAACGGTAAAATTTAAATCTGAGATAGCAGGCGAACAGAAATAAGCAGAAGGTCGCTGCTTCTTTTGTTTTTCGCTTTTTCTTGTTTTTCTTTGTATTTCGTTGCTCTCTTTTTTCGATCTTCTTTTTCTCATTTTCTGCCTCCACTTTCCACCGCTCACAGGGCAGAAAACGGTTAAATTTAAATCTGAGATACCAGGCGAACAGAAATCAGCAGAAGGTCGCTGCTTTTTTTGATTTCTCTTTTTATCTTGTTTCTCTTTGTATTTCGTTGCTCTCTTTTTTCGATCTTCTTTTTCTCATTTTCTGCCTCCACTTTCCACCGCTAACGGGGCAGAAAACGGTTAAATTAAAATCTGAGATATCAGGCGCACAGAAATCAGCAGAAGGTCGCTGCTGTTTTAATTTCTCTCTTTTTCTTGTTTTTCTTTGTATTTCGTTGCTCTCTTTTTTCGATCTTCTTTTTCTCATTTTCTGCCTCCACTTTCCACCGCTCCAATGGCAGAAAACGGTTAAATTCAAATCTGAGATACCAGGCGCACAGAAATCAGCAGAAGGTCGCTGCTTTTTTTGATTTCTCTTTTTTTCTTGTTTCTCTTTGTTTTTCGTTACTCTCTTTTTTCGATCTTCTTTTTCTCATTTTCTGCCTCCACTTTCCACCGCTCACAGGGCAGAAAACGGTTAAATTCAAATCTGAGATACCAGGCGCACAGAAATCAGCAGAAGGTCGCTGCTTTTTTTGATTTCTCTTTTTTTCTTGTTTCTCTTTGTATTTCGTTGCTCTCGTTTTTCGATCTTATTTTTCTCATTTTCTGCCTCCACTTTCCACCGCTATCGGGGCAGAAAATGGTTAAATTAAAATCTGAGATATCAGGCGCACAGAAATCAGCAGAAGGTCGCTGCTTTTTTGTTTTTCGCTTTTTCTTGTTTTTCTTTGTATTTCGTTGCTCTCTTTTTTCGATCTTCTTTTTCTCATTTTCTGCCTCCACTTTCCACCGCTCACAGGGCAGAAAACGGTTAAATTCAAATCAAGAGATACCAGGCGCACAGAAATCAGCAGAAGGTCGCTGCTTTTTTTGTTTTTCGCTTTTTCTTGTTTCTCTTTGTATTTCGTTGCTCTCGTTTTTCGATCTTATTTTTCTCATTTTCTGCCTCCACTTTCCACCGCTCACAGGGCAGAAAACGGTTAAATTCAAATCTGAGATACCAGGCGAACAGAAATCAGCAGAAGGTCGCTGCTTTTTTTGATTTCTCTCTTTTTCTTGTTTCTCTTTGTATTTCGTTGCAATCTTTTTTCGATCTAATTTCTCTCATTTTCTGCCTCTACTTTCCATCGCTCAAATGGCAGAAAACCGTTAAATTCAAATCTGAAATACCAGGCGAACAGAAATCTGCAGAAGGTCGCTGCTTTTTTTGATTTCTATTTTTTTCTTGTTTCTCTTTGTATTTCGTTGCTCTCTTTTTTCGATCTTCTTTTCTTATTTTCTGCCTCCACTTTCCACCGCTCACAGGTCAGAAAACGGTTAAATTCAAATCTGAGATACCAGGCGCACAGAAATCAGCAGAAGGTCGCTGCTTTTTTTGTTTTTCGCTTTTTCTTGTTTCTCTTTGTATTTCGTTGCTCTCTTTTTTCGATCTTCTTTTTCTCATTTTCTGCCTCTACTTCCCACCGTTCAAAAGGCAGAAAACGGTTAAATTCAAATCTGAGATACCAGGCGCACAGAAATCAGCAGAAGGTCGCTGCTTTTTTTGATTTCTCTTTTTTTCTTGTTTCTCTTTGTATTTCGTTGCTCTCGTTTTTCGATCTTATTTTTCTCATTTTCTGCCTCCACTTTCCACCGCTCACAGGGCAGAAAACGGTTAAATTCAATTCTGAGATACCAGGCGCACAGAAATCAGCAGAAGGTCGCTGCTTTTTTTGATTTCTCTCTTTTTCTTGTTTCTCTTTGTATTTCGTTGCAATCTTTTTTCGATCTAATTTCTCTCATTTTCTGCCTCTACTTTCCATCGCTCAAATGGCAGAAAACCGTTAAATTCAAATCTGAAATACCAGGCGAACAGAAATCTGCAGAAGGTCGCTGCTTTTTTTTATTTCTCTTTTTTTCTTGTTTCTCTTTGTATTTCGTTGCTCTCTTTTTTCGATCTTCTTTTTCTCATTTTCTGCCTCCACTTTCCACCGCTCACAGGGCAGAAAACGGTTAAATTCAAATCTGAGATACCAGGCGCACAGAAATCAGCAGAAGGTCGCTGCTTTTTTTGTTTTTCGCTTTTTCTTGTTTCTCTTTGTATTTCGTTGCTCTCTTTTTTCGATCTTCTTTTTCTCATTTTCTGCCTCCACTTCCCACCGTTCAAAAGGCAGAAAACGGTTAAATTCAAATCTGAGATACCAGGCGCACAGAAATCAGCAGAAGGTCGCTGCTTTTTTTGATTTCTCTTTTTTTTCTTGTTTCTCCTTGTATTTCGTTGCTCTCTTCTTTCGATCTTCTTTTTCTCATTTTCTGCCTCCACTTTCCACCGCTCACAGGGCAGAAAACGGTTAAATTCAAATCTGAGATACCAGGCGCACAGAAATCAGCAGAAGGTCGCTGCTTTTTTGATTTATCTTTTTTTCTTGTTTCTCTTTGTATTTCGTTGCTCTCTTTTTTCGATCTTCTTTTTCTCATTTTCTGCCTCTACTTCCCACCGCTCACAGGGCAGAAAACGGTTAAATTCAAATCTGAGATACCAGGCGCACAGAAATCAGCAGAAGGTCGCTGCTTTTTTTGATTTCTCTTTTTTTCTTGTTTCTCTTTGTATTTCGTTGCTCTCTTTTTTCGATCTTCTTTTTCTCATTTTCTGCCTCCACTTTCCACCGCTCACAGGGCAGAAAACGGTTATATTCAAATCTGAGATACCAGGCGCACAGAAATCAGCAGAAGGTCGCTGCTTTTTTTGTTTTTCGCTTTTTCTTGTTTCTCTTTGTATTTCGTTGCTCTCTTTTTTCGATCTTCTTTTTCTCATTTTCTGCCTCTACTTCCCACCGTTCAAAGGGCAGAAAACGGTTAAATTCAAATCCGAGATACCAGGCGCACAGAAATCAGCAGAAGGTCGCTGCTTTTTTTGATTTCTCTTTTTTTCTTGTTTCTCTTTGTATTTCCTTGCTCTCTTTTTTCGATAATCTTTCTCTCATTTTCTGCCTCCACTTTCCACCGCTCACAGGGCAGAAAACGGTTAACTTCAAATCTAAGATACCAGGCGCACAGAAATCAGCAGAAGGTCGCTGCTTTTTTTGATTTCTATTTTTTTCTTGTTTCTCTTTGTATTTCGTTGCTCTCTTTTTTCGATCTTCTTTTCTCATTTTCTGCCTCCACTTTCCACCGCTCACAGGGCAGAAAACGGTTAAATTCAAATCTGAGATACCAGGCGCACAGAAATCAGCAGAAAGTCGCTGCTTTTTTGATTTCTCTTTTTTTCTTGTTTCTCCTTGTATTTCGTTGCTCTCTTCTTTCGATCTTCTTTTTCTCATTTTCTGCCTCCACTTTCCACCGCTCACAGGGCAGAAAACGGTTAAATTCAAATCTAAGATACCAGGCGCACAGAAATCAGCAGAAGGTCGCTGCTTTTTTTGATTTCTCTTTTTTTCTTGTTTCTCCTTGTATTTCGTTGCTCTCTTCTTTCGATCTTCTTTTTCTCATTTTCTGCCTCCACTTTCCACCGCTCACAGGGCAGAAAACGGTTAAATTCAAATCTGAGATACCAGGCGCACAGAAATCAGCAGAAAGTCGCTGCTTTTTTGATTTCTCTTTTTTTCTTGTTTCTCCTTGTATTTCGTTGCTCTCTTTTTTC